ACTGAGATGCTTAAGAAGCTGAGAAAGGAAGGAAAGAGGTGGTTGAGATACAACCTTAAAAAAGGCATCATGGACTTCCGGTCAAGATGGCGGGTAGGTAAACGCAGTATCGCGTCCTCCCACAACCACATCAAAGTTACAACAAAACTACAGAACAACCACCATTCAAAACCGCCTGAAATCAAGCTGAATGGAAGTCCTACAACTACGGAATAAAAGCAGCAGCCGCATCCAGACTGGTAGGAAGGGCGGAGGCGAGACGGGCTGGTCCCACACCCACGTGTGGCGGATAAAAATCAGGAGGACACCTCGGCTGGGAAGGTCCTTCCTGAGGACTGAGAGGTCCCTGTCCCACACCAGGTGCCCCGCTCAGGGTTCCAGTGCCAGGAAGAGAATCCCTATCACTTCTGGCTGGAAAAACCAGCGGGAACTGAGGCTCAGGGAAGCTGAAGCGGCTGAAGCCCCAGGCAGCTCTGTAAAGGGCCCGCGCACGGACTTATCGGACTCTCTCCCTCTAAGCTTGGAGGGGAGGCAGCTCGAGGGGCGCCAGAGACACACAGGGAAGAACTGTTTGGCACTAGAGCGAGGGCTGGAGAGGGGCTTTCTCCGGGACAAACGTGCTGTCAGAGGCCTTTGTTCCTTTGGTGAGCCCTTCCCGGGGGCGACAGACAGCCGCCATATCTGGGACTCCAGCAACCTGGCTCACACTGGTAGCCCCGCCCTGCTGACTCCCTGAGGCCCCGCCCCACACAACGTTCAGGCCCATCCAAGCTGTTGGCATTTGCTTAACCATAGGATTGGCCTGACTTGGATCCTGCTTCAGGTTTTCCTAACTTTTTTCAAACGAGCAGCATCTGGTCTCAGCTAGCCCCATACCTCTCGTTACGTAATACACAGAAACAAACACAGGGAGGCAGCCAAAATGAGGAGATAAAGAAACAGGTCCCAAATGAAAGAACAGAACAAAACCCCAAGAAAAGAACTAAGTGAAATGGAGATAAGCAACCTAACAGATGCTGAGTTCAAAATACTGCTTATAAGGATGCTCAATGAACTCAGTGAGGGCCTCAAGAGCATAAAAAAGGACCACTCAGAAATGATCGATGCACAGTTAGAAACGAAGGAGGTTTTAACTGAAATAAAGAATAATTTACACAGCTTCAATAATAGAGTACGTAAATCCAAGGAGCAAACCATCAATTTGGAATATAAGGAAGCAAAAACGCCCAATCAGAACAGGAAAAAGAAAAAAGAATCCAAAAAAATGAGGATAGTGTAAGGAGCCTCTGGGACAACCTCAAGCGTGCCAACATTCGCACCTTGGGGGTGCTGGAAGGAGAAGAGAGAGAACAAGAAATCGAAAACCTGTTTGAAACAATAATGGCAGAAAACTCTCCTAACTTGGTGAAGGAAACAGGCATACAAGTCCAGGAAACACAGAGAGTCCCAAACAAGATGAACCCCAAGAGGCCCACACCAAGACACATCATCATCAAAATGCAAAAGGTTCAAGACAAAGAGAGAATCTTAAAAGCAGCAAGAGAAAGGCAGCTAGTTACCTACAAGGGAGTTCCCATGAGGCTGTCAGCTGATTTCTCAAAAGAAACGTTGCAGGCCAGAAGGGAGTGGCAAGAAATATTCAGAGTGATGGAAAGCAAGAACCTACAACCAAGATTACTCTATCCTGCAAAGCTGTCATTTAGAATCGATGAACATATAAAGACTTTCCCAGACAAGATAAAGTTAAAGGAGTTCATCACCACCAAACCGTTATTAAATGAAATGATGAAGGGTCTTTTTGAAGAAAAAGATAAAATATATGAACAAACAAAATGGCAATGAATACATATGTATCAACAATGGAATCTACAAACAAAATGAACAGATAGAACAGAAACATTCTCATAGATACAGAGAACATTTTGTTGGTTGCCAGATGGGAGGGGGTTTGGGGGAATGGGTGAAAAAGGTGAAGGGATTAAGAAGTACAAATTGGTTGCTAAACTGACAAATCTCAAAGAGAAAGGGGCTGGGGGGGGGGGGAGAAATAAACCAAAGAATTTATATGCATAACCAATGGACACAGACAATAGTCTGGGGAAAGGGGGAGGGAGGTGGGAGTGGGGAGGAGGGAGTCAATGGGGGAAAAAAATGTGGAACACCTGTAATACATTCTACATTCAACAATAAAGATTTAATGCCCTGGCCGGTTTGGCTCAGCGGTTAGAGCGTCTGCCTGCGGTCCGGAGAGACCCGGGTTCGGTTCCCGCTAAGGGCATGTACCTCGGTTGCAGTTTGTCCCCGGCCCTGGTTGGTCGTGCGGGTGGCAGCCACTCGATGTGTCCCTTTCACATCGATGTTTCTCTCTCTCTCTCTTCCTCTCTCTCCCTCCCACTCTGTCTGTACAAAAAATGGAAAAATATCCTCGGATGAGGATTTAAAAAAAAAAAAAAAAAAAGGCATCATGGCCTGGCCAGTGTGGCTCAGTGGTGGAGCACTGACCCATGCACCAAGAGGTCTCTGGTTCGATTCTTAGTCAGGGCACACGCCCAGGTTGCGGGCTTGATCCCCAGCAGGGGGCGTGCAAAAGGCAGCTGATCCATGTTTCTCTCTCTCCCTTCCCCTTTCTCTCTCTCTAAAATCAATAAAAACATATTTTTAAAAATCAGAGTTCTTAAACAAACAAAAGGCATCATACCCTGGCCAGTGTGGCTCAGTTGGTTGGGTATCATGCCACGCACCAAAAGGTTGCTGGTTCAATTCCTGAACAAGGGCACATGCAGGAGTTGCAGGCTTGATCCCCTGTAGGGGGCATGCAGGAGGCAGCCAATCAATGTTACACTCTCACATCAATATTTTTTTCTTTCTCTCCCTAAAAATCAATAAACTATTCTTTAAATACAAAGGTTTCATAAGTGTGACAGCCCGGCCAGTGTGGCTCAGTGATTGAGTGTCGACCCATGCACCAAGAGGTCGCTGGTTTGATTCCTGGTCAGGGCACATGCCCAGGCTGTGGGCCAAATCCCCAGTGCGGGGCATGCAGGAGGCGGCCAATGGATGTTCTTTCTCATCAATGTTTCTACCTCTCCCCCTCCCTTCCTCTCTCTCTAAAATCAATAAAGAAACAAAATAAAAAATAAAAAAAGACTGAGTTCAGGTCTTCAGATGTGTTACCTTGGGCTGACCACCAGATTTCTCTGAGGCTTTCCTCATAGAGTTGTGAAAGGATTAAACAAGATAATGCAAATGTAAATTATAAAGCACTTCTTAAACAAAAGATTGCAACACCTACATGGGAAATGGAATAGCACATGAATAAGAGATGAGGAGAAACATCACCAAGCATCAGGGAGGGCTGAGGTAAAGTTCCAGCAAGAATATATAGCAAACCCAAGTGTGCAGTTTGTGTGACTTTCTCCAGCACACTGGAGTGGAGAAAGCAGATTCTGAGGGTAGGTGTGGAGAAGACAAGAAGCTGAAAAAATCTAGGTAAGGACTATTTTAAGATCTTTGTAGGCATGCTTACTTTTGGAAATCACGTGTAATTTTTATATACAGGGTGCTGCCAAAAGTAAGTTTACAGTTGTGAGAACATGCAAGTTTATTCTTATATTATTACTTATGAATTATTGTATTATTTTCCGTATGAACTGTAAACCTACATTTGCTGCACCCTGTTTAAGTAACATTGGACTCATTGATGTGTTGTATATATTTTAGAAATGGCTAAACATTTCAATTTTTGTAGATAGGTTTTTTTGTTTTTTCATACTTTGGAGTCAACAAGTTTTGTTTTCTCAGATTTTCTTATTTTTTAAAGCTTAGGCTCTAGGCACTGTGTCTACGGTAGAAATGGATAACGAAGGCATCAATGAAACAGCTAGCCGTCCATGGAGTCCAAAGTAGGGGAAGGCACGGACAAAGCAAGCAGTGAGAAAAGGGAACCTACTAGACAAGCTTAAGCGGCTGCAGATAGGAGCAGTGGAGGTGAGGAGCTAGTGCTACCATTTCTGGAATTTTGGAGATACAGGTCCCAGATCCAGGTACAGCAAAACCTCCACATGGGCGAACTGGGAGACCACTGGTAAGGCCACTTATAAACAGACAAAGAAATTAGAAAGGGTGCGAAGTGAGTCCATCTTCCCGATCCCACAAAGGGGTTATGGCTCCTTGGCATCTTCCACTAACCCACTGTGACCAGGCACGGGCCCTCCTTGATTGACTGATAAAAACTACGGGGCAACCTTCTCGTTTCTGTTATGCATAACTGTAGGATTCCGGGTGAGAAATACTTAAGCCCTTAGGTCATTTGCACGCCTGGCCCCGTTGGGTGAAGCAGCGGCTTCTCCTGCCCCAGGGAATGGGGAGCTCCCGGCGCAGGCCGGATGAAGGCCTCCATGCCGGCCCTTGGTTCAACGGGTCCCAGGACCAGGGCCTGAGGAGCCCTTAGTCCCGGAAAATGCCAGGTGCTGGCGAGCCGCAGAAGCCCTCGCGGCCGGCACAATGGGCCTAAGGGGTAAGCAGGATGCCCACACTAGCCCTGAGCGGACACTTCGTCGCCGCGTCGTAAGTCTCCGCAACCAGAAAAACCTCTCGTCCTACAACTCCCAGCATGCCCTGGGCTGGCTGACAGCTCCACCCACCAATGGGAGGGCCAGCCTGGGTTCGTGCGACCAATCCGAGAACGCAAAGGAGGCCACCCCGAAACATATCAACGCGGCTCTATAAGTGGTGCACTGGCCTCTCTGTCACCACAGAGATAAAGAGGACAATCCCCGTGAAATGGTGACGCTGGCTATCCTATGCGGCTCAGCCCTCGAGGCCCGAGCCCTCCGCCGCCCCGCCGCCCCGCCGCGGCTTTTACTTAGTTTGCTCCCTTCCCGGCCTGAGTGGACAGGCGATGTGGGATTTCCAAAGCTTATTGGGTGCTCGTGGTGTCACTCTGGAGGGCGGCGGAGGGACCCCGCGGCGAGGGCCGCCCCTCTCGGACGGTGATTGGACTCGCCTGAGGAGAGGGCTGGGATTGGTGCGAGGAGGGGCCCGAGCCTTTCGGCACCTGGGGTCGAAACCTGGCGAGGCGGTGGCAGCCGAGGAGCCGGTGGGGACTCGCGGCACCCTCGCCCGCCGCGTGCCCTCCCCGAAGGGCCGGGTCGGGGGAAGGAGCGGGAGGCCCCTCTACCTCATCACGCGGGAGCGAGGGTGGCGCTTGTCGCGTGTCCAGCGCAGGACCAGTGGGGCGGGGGGCGGGAGGGGGGTGGGAGTGGAGGGCGGGAGAGGAGTAGGGGTCCGGGAGAAGGCTGCAGGACTAGTTCGAGACCTAGACCTGGAAGCGCTTCCGGGGAGGACTTGGGGGGCAGAGGAGGGCGTGGGCGTGGGCGTGTCTGGTATGGGATGCCATGGAAAGGAGGGGGCACTCCTGAGCAGATCTGTGGATCCTTCCTTTGAGGAATCTTCTTTTTTGCCCTCTGATGTGCTGGAGAGCGAGTCTCCACGGTCTCTGTTCAAGTTCTGGAAACTTTCTCTTTGGGTGGGCTTAATCAACTACTTCATTACAGAGCCACCCAGGGCCTTTTCTGATACTGGGCATAAACGTAAGGGATATGTCAGAAAAGAAGAAGCCGCTGCTGGGCTTCGTGGGCAAACATCCCAGTGGGACTGGCATTGGGAACGCAGGCAAGACTCACTGCCCTTCGTGCATGGGGCTTTTCAAAGCCCCCAGGCTTTTGCCATGTTTGCACACAGTTTGCACCACGTGTTTGGAGCAGCTGGAACCCTTCTCAGTAGTGGACATCCGAGGGGGAGACTCTGACACAAGCTCTGAGGGGTCAATATTCCAGGAACTCAAGCCACGCGGCCTGCAGCCGCAGACCGGCATCCTCTGTCCAGTATGTGATGCTCAGGTGGACCTGCCCACGGGTGGAGTGAAGGCTTTAACCATAGACCACTTGGCCATGAATGATGTGATGCTGGAGAATCTGCGTGGGGAAGGCCAGGGCCTGGTGTGTGACCTGTGCAGCGACAGGGAAGTGGAGAAGAGGTGTCAGACCTGCAAAGCCAATCTCTGCCATTTCTGCTGCCAGGCGCATAGGTAAAGATGGGATACCCAAACTGGTGTGGCTTAAGAGCAGAGTAGAAAGAGTGTTGAGACAGAAAAATCCCTCCTTGGTGGGCAAATGAAAAGGAAAACTTTATCAAATGCCACGGAAGGTCAAAGAGCAATCTACGAGGTGAGAGCAAATACTCTAGAACAGTAGTTAACTCTTGTAGCCTTATATAATACTCACAGTAGTATCAAAGGCTTGCATAGTCCTTTTCAGTTTGCAAAGCACATTCACAGTGTTCTTGGATCATCAATTCTTTGTATACCAGATAATTTTACTGGGTGCTGGAGAAACAGAGGAGAATGAATAGAATAGCATAGCCCCTGCCTCAATCTCATTTGATCCTTGTACTTCTTATTAAAAAGTAGGCACTGTTTCCACTCCTATTTATTGAGGAAACAAGCTCAGCAATATGTGACTTGCCAAGGTCCCACAGCTGGTAAGTAGTATATAACAACTGAATTTTAAATCCAGATCTGACTGCATTCCCTGCTTTCTATTACTCCATGCTGCCTTCCCAGTGTAAGGTGCTGAATGGCAGGGCCCCAACTCAGCCTTTGCCTTGTACCCTAGAGTCACTCTGGAGCTTGGTGAGGTGGGCTGGTTGGTGCTCATTGGGGTGCATACTGTGTCTTTTATGGCATTTGGTGAACAGTTTGTCATGAATCTCTGTCCCTTCTCAACCCCCATCCCCATTCCAGGACATCAGAATATAAAATAATCAAGCTTTTAGGATTAGCCTCAAGTAGTTTTTAAGTTCTGCCTTCCATATTTATTCTCTTGCCTCACCCACAGAAGTTAGTAGTCTTCAGTCTTTCTATTTTTAACTTGTAACTGTGACTGCCTTGCTGCCAGACAAACAGCTGAGCCTGTCTTCTCTACAGCCACTCCTTTGGTGCCAGAACAGGTGTGTCAGCTTCAGGTTGCCCTAACAGTCACCATGAGTTCCTAGGGATTTCCCTGAAATCTCTAGAGGGCTGCAGAAGAGAGGAATTAAGAGAGCTTTGATTCTGACCATTGATTTCACTCTAATGCTGATCATTCCTATTGAGGAAAATTCTAGCTTGCTGCTTTGGGTGATGTAGGCACTAGTCAAAGGAAATGCCTTACCAACATCTTTTTGTGGGGCAAATACTGCTTTTTAATGGCCGGGGGCTTACTGCTGTGCTCTCTGGCACATTTGTTTCTTAGTTCTGGGTTTTCACCTTGCTCTCACCTCTAGCTTGCTGGAGGAGTAGGCTGTGGGTCTTGTCTAAACTTGCCAGTTTGACTCTGGGAAAGTTCTAGGATGTAGACTTATTGTTGCAGCCTTTTACAATGTCATGTCCTAAACCAGAGAGCCCTAGTTTACTATCATTTATTCTGTACAACAGCCCTTTCCGGTGAGTACTATCCCCACTGCACAGATGAGGAACTGGAATCAGAGGGGATCATGTAGTTAGTAACAGGTTAGAGCAAGGAACTGAACTCAGGGTTATTTGACTTCAGACCCCATGCTCTTAAAATTGTTGGACTGTTTCTCAACTAGAATGGTTCCCTAATTTCCTGTTCCTGACTCTGCTTGCCCCTAGGCGACAGAAGAAAACAACTTATCATACCATGGTGGACATAAAAGACTTGAAAGGCTACAGCCAGATTGGGAAAGCCATTCTGTGTCCTGCTCACCCTGCGGAGGAGCTGAGGCTGTTCTGTGAGCTATGTGACCAGCCTGTGTGCCGCGATTGTGTGGTGGGTGAGCACCGGGAGCACCCCTGTGACTTCACCAGCAATGTTATCCACAAGCATGGGGACTCCGTGCGTGAGCTCCTCAAAGGCACCCAGCCCCATGTGGAGGCCCTGGAGGAAGCCCTGGCACAGATCAAAGAGACAAACAGTGCCCTCCAGCAGCGAGTAGAGGCTGTGGCCGCTGATATCCGAACATTCTCCGAGAACTACGTCAAGGCCATTGAGGAGCATCGGGACAAGCTACTGAAGCAGCTGGAAGACATACGGGTCCAGAAGGAGAACTCCCTACAGCTGCAGAAGGCACAGCTGGAGCAGCTGCTGGCAGACATGCGCACTGGAGTGGAGTTCACCGAGCACTTGCTGACCAGTGGCTCCGACGTGGAGATTCTCATCACCAAGGGGGTAGTAGTGGAGAGGCTTACGAAGCTGAACCAAGTCGAATACAGTGCCCATCCCAGAGTAAACGATAAGATATGCTTCTCTCCTCAGGAGAAAGCAGGTCGGTGCCGTGGCTATGAAGTTTATGGGGCCATCAATACCAAAGAGGTCGATCCAGCCAAATGTGTCCTTCAAGGAGAAGGTAGGAAGGCACTGCCCATTGGCATTGAGAGGTCATTGGACAGGGACATGGTATTTAAAGATATGTAGCTTTTTCAGCTAGGCTTTCGTTCAGCTAAGAAGAGCTCCCTACTGACCAGTTTACTAAAGGACAGTGACCCCCCTTCCTTGCTCTTTCTGACTTATTCTGGTCAGGGTACAGTTAATATCCCTTGCAGGCATGAGGCTTGACCCTTTTCCAGTTGAGAAATGTAGTAACTACCAACTACTCAAGGATCATGCTCTCTCTATTAGAAGACAAAGCAGAGACTATGCCCATAGGAGATAATAACATAGACTTCAGGGCAGGGTGAAATCCCAAGTGCTCAGAGAGAATGGCAGGCCCCATACGCTTAGATCAAGTTCTGGAGTTTCAGAAGAGTGAGGAAGAGATTATGGTTTACTTTCTTCTATGCCCTTTTTGTTTCACACAAGCCACAGAACATTGGCATTTAAAAGAATATGGTAGTCCTGGCTGGTTTGGCTCAGCAGTTAGAGCATCAGCCCATGGACCAATGAGTCGCAGGTTCGATTCCGGTCAAGGGCACGTACTTCAGTTGTTATTCGTCCCTGGCCCTGGCTGGGGTTGTGCGGAAGGCAGCCACTTGATGTGTCCCTTTCATGTCGATGTTTCTCTCTCTCTCTCTCTGTTCCTCTCCCCTCCCCCCCACTCTTATCTAAACAAAAAATGGAGAAATGTCCGCTGGTGAGGATAAAAAATAAATGAATAAAAGAATATGGTAGGCATTTCATCCCGTAGGGAGAAAACAATAGCATTTGACCACAGTGCTCTATTCTAAACGAAGCATGGTATTCACACATGTATGTCACAGATCAGTCCTGACAGGAAGGTTGTATCCTAGAGTCCTCCTGACTCTGGCACAGGAATTGCTAACTGGAGGTCACATATCCCTTTGAGAATGATCTTTCACCAAGAAACACCTACTACCTTGGGCAATTTCAGGAGATTCTTAGACCCTTCATAAGCCTCTCCATAGACCTTACAATAGTTCATGAACCTGTTTCATCTGATTGCTGAACTAGGGGCTATAGAGATGGGGGAGTGAGTGATTAAACTGAACCAGGTCTGGCTCTTCTTGGGGAAGACGGGGGGGGGGGGGGGGTCAGCTCAGGCAAGATATCTAATTATTATTATTATTATTTATTTATTTATTTTTCCTTTATTGATCTTTAGAGAGAGAGGAAGGGAGAGGGAGAGACAAAAACATCGATGAGAGAACATCAACTGGCTGCCTCCAGCATGCCCCTTGACTGGGGGATTTGGACCAAAACCTGGGCATGTGCCCCCACTGGGAATTGAACTGGCAACCTCGTGGTGCATGGGTTGATACTCAGCCACTGAACCACACCAGCTGGGCTCTAATTATTTTTTTTTTAAGTATTCCATTGTGTCCTTACTATTGAATATCTCCTCAACACCTTGGCACAAGCTGCCACGCTGTGGAGGACCTCATTGCATGGAGTCCAAGCCTATTCCGGCAATATCTGCAGCTGATAGAGAGTATTTTGGGGGTTACCAGCCTCTCTCACAGGATCTAGAGGTTTTCCTCTAAATTCTTAGGCCAATCCTGAGTATTTTCAAAGCTTCCTTAGGGCTGAAGTTCAGGTCCAGGATCCTATGATCCAAAGGCTGCTGGCTGAGAGAGAACCAGGCTCACCAGGAGAGACTCCCAGGAGGAATGCTCTGGGAGACAGAATGGGAAGAGAGAAGAAAGGGAGCAGGGTGATCACCGTGACCAGGAAGCACAGCCTCTTGTTCTAAAGAGAAAAAGCAAGATGACCTCTGATCTGGGGAGGTAGTCACTGCAGTTGGTCTTGAAGGTGAGGACTGCGTGTTTATCTTCTGCAGATCTCCACAGGGCCCGGGAGAAACAGACGGCGTCTTTCACCCTGCTGTGTAGGGATGCAGCGGGAGAGAGCATGGGCAGGGGAGGAGACAACATTCAAGTCGCAGTTGTCCCCAAAGATAAGAAGGACAGGTTTGTACTACACAATCACGTATTAGGGGTGGTAAGTGGTGATGAAACTGGAAACTTGAGATCCTTAGCAGTAGTGGAGTTGTTACCACCTGCCTCCCCACAGTGCTACTAAAAATTTGATATGACCAATTAGACCTGATGTGTTTTCTTATGTGGGTTTATGCCTATATTCAGTTATCTCCCAAAGGTCCGATCTGCCCGATTGTCTTCATCCCAAGCTTTGAGTAGACTGAAAAATATTCTATATTATACTGAATGGTGCCCTTCTCAAAATTCAGCCCCACTTGGCTACTAAATTGTATTGGGAGCCGTTATATGGCTCTGGAGAAGGAAGGGGAGGACAAAGTATGGGAAGGCACAGCAGAAGCCATAAAGTTTTCAAGGAATTCAGCTGTACAGCAGATTAGATTAGCATTTATTTTGCTTCCCTTCTGTTGTGAAATTAACTTCTGAGACAAGTAGAAATAGCATCTAAAATTTGATCAAACGTAATGGTGCACTTTGCATCCTGAAATAATGAAGCAGGCTGGGAGAGTGAGTGGCTTTTGGAAACTCTTATCTCCATCCAGTCCAGTCAGAACGGTGGTGCAGGACAACAAGGACGGGACGTACTGCGTCTCCTATACCCCCAAGGAACCCGGCGTCTATACTGTGTTGGTCTGCGTCAAGGAGCAGCACGTGCGGGTGAGGAAGACCTGTGTGTGTGCTTGCTTGAAGTCCTTTCACCCTGGCCCGCGTGGGTTCTGTCACCTTAGGATGTGGAGACCTTTCTCATAGAAGCAGATGTACAGAGGGACAGAACAGGATTCTCTTCTTTCTTACTTCCCTTCCCTTTAGAAATGCCCAGATTTTGCAACTCTTATTCTTACCAGAGGATGCTGGTGATTAAGAACTCTCTAGCTGCCCTGGCCGTTTTGGCTCAGCGGTTAGAGCGTCGGCCTGCGGTCCAGAGAGACCCGGGTTCAGTTCCCGCTAATGGCATGTACCTCGGTTGCAGTTTGTCCCCAGCCCTGGTTGGTCGTGCGGGTGGCAGCCACTCGATGTGTCCCTTTCATATCGATGTTTCTCTCCCCCCCCCCCACTCTATCTGAACAAAAAATGGAAAAATGTCCTCGGGTGAGGATTAAAAAAGAAAAAAAAGAATTCTCTAGCCCTATTTTACCTCTGGGCAGTTATGTTTATATTTTGTCATTCTCCCAGTTGGCTTGTTGGAAAGATGCCTTAATCACACAGTCTACTAGCAGATAAGAACACACACTCAAGAAATATAATCTGGTTCAGGATTTTCCAGCTGTGTTCAGACTATGACCAGACATGGACTAACTAGAACTCAACTGGGAGACTCGCACCCTTTCCTTTCAACTGCCTGGTCGTCTGTCTGCTTCTCACGTGATTCTCTACTCTGTTTCCATATATGTTTATCTGTTACCATGGTTACCATATCACCGCCACAGACCAGTGTAACACTTTCTGGTTAGAGATTATAAATTTAAAAGTTGGAGCCATACCCAGCATGTCCTAGCAGAATCTCTCTGCTGACATTCGAGCAGTCAGAGGTTCCCCCCAAACAGAAGTCAACACTACAGGGACACTAGAATCCCCTACAGAGTCATGAGATGTCAGGCCTGTGGTCTGCACACTGGGACGCTATTCACTAGCCACTCATTGCTTGCCTCACCGCAGGGTGCCAGAGTGGGTTAGGCGTTGTTGCATACATTATTTCATTTTTTTTCCAAACCATTCAGGCATGGAGATGATCATCCAATTAGACCAGGACACCAAACGTACCGAAATACACAGTACCTGCATAGCAAAATCAGAGTCTGTTTCCATTTTTTTTAAAACTCCAAGTTGTTTTTAAAATAAGTTGCAGACTCTTTAAAGGCAGAGAGATTTAACATCTGAAAGGCTTCTAAGGTGCCAGACTCTCAATTTTGTGCTTTCAGACTGCATGGTTCACATAGGGATGGACAGGCACACAGCAACTTATTGAATATTTATTGTTTAAAATAGGCTAGAAATTGGAGACTGGAAGTTATCCTTGAAGGAAAGGGGGCAGGGAGGAGTTTCTAATCTGAGAATCAACCACACTCTTAACCCTTCTCCCTTGCAAATCTCTTCACCGTCCCAGAATAAGTGTAAACAAGTATGTCTGGGCAGGAGGGGCGGAAGGGGAGGAGGTGTGAAGCTGAGAAACGAGAAAGGATCACAGGATGTCCTAGCCTCATGGTTGTGGCACTCTCAAAAGTGGAGAAGAGAGAGACCGAGTCAGTGACATGAACGCACAAATGGATTTACTTGTGTGTCAAGTAGTCTCGGGGCCAGGAGGGCAGCACAGATGCCTCTGTCCCTCCCTTTGCATCTGGCCCTATCCAGCTGAGCACCCAGCTAGTTCTTGTCCCCAAGTGTCCTCTAAGGACAGACCCTATGACTTACACTGTTTAGCACATGGGATGCTCAGCACATCCCTGTTGACTCATACATAAGGTGCTGTTCTTTGCTCTTGGTCTGAACACCGAAGGGCTCGCCATTCACTGTGACCGTGAGGAAAAGGCACCGCTCGCACCCAGGCGTGTTTCACTGCTGCACATTCTGCTCCAGTGGAGGCCAGAAAACCGCTCGCTGTGCCTGTGGGGGCACCATGCCAGGTAAGGAGGGCCTGTCGCGCTTGAAAGTCCTTCCCCTTTGGGATTGTCTCCCAGCAGCGGGAATCGGCTGCTACACAGACACTAGGTTTGAGATACTCCACCTTGGGCTTTGTTTGTAAGAATCTAGTCTGTGGATATAAGTACCACAGTTCTAAAACTTTCGTTTAAAGCTGCTTTGTTCTGAACATTGAAACAGCAACCTTACAAGTCCTGAGCTCATTTAGTTTTGATACAGTTCACTGATCCCATGAGCCCTGTTCTCTCTGGATGCTTGGTTTCCTGTTTCTACCCTTTCCAGCATCCTGGCAGTACAAATACTGTTAACCCATCCTGTTCCTTTTAGAAGGTTAAAGAAGTCTCAAACAAGGCAGGAATAGGGGAGTGGACGACTAAGCCAACTGAACCAGGTCTGGCTCTTCTTGGGGGTTAGGGAGGTCAGCACAGGCAAGAGATCTAATTATTTATTTATTTTAAATCCTCACCTGAGGATATTTTTGCATTTATCTTCAGATATAGTGATAGGGAGGGAGGGAGGGGGAAAGAGACAGAGAGATAGAGACATCAATGTGAGAGACACACACCGACTGGTTGCCCCCAGCATGACCCCAACCAGGGCTGGAGACCGAACCGCAACCGAGGTACATGCCCTTGGCCAGAATTGAACATGCGACCTTTAGTCCTCGGGCTGACGCTCTAACTGCTGAGCCAAACTGGCCAGGGCTAATTATTTTTTAAAAGCATTCTATTGTGTTCTTACACTAATGATGGGCCTTAAGTGAGGCTTTTGTACCCTTTGGTATAAACACTTCAGGATCTACCTTACTTTTTATTTCCAGTACTCTATCCTCTTTTATTATTTCAGAGTTAAAATCCAAACCAGTTCATCTTGAGTTAGCAGTATTAAAATAACACTTCTCAGAACTTCAGCTAACTGTAATTCATTTGCTGTACAGTTGGCCCTGTTTATCGCGGTTAATCGGTTCCAGACTCTACCGCGATAAATGAATTTCTGCGAAGTAGGATTCTTTATTTATATGCAGTCGTCCTTCCCACTTCGCACTTGACTTTCGCGGCTTCACTCTAGCGCGGTGTTTTCAAGTATCGTATAGTATAGTATTGACCGCGCTACAGTGAAGCTCTGATAGCCGAAGCACGAAATGGCGCGGGACGACAGTAATCAGTCCTGGGAGACGCCCAATAGCTTGTACCTCTCACTCGGTCTTTATTAGATGTTTTCACATCCAGGAGTTGGAATGTTGCCAGGAACTTTAATTTCCATGGTAACTGGTGGCCTTCACTCTTGATGGTGTTTTCCCCTCTCCTCTGTACCACCAGGCGGGTACCTAGGCTGTGGCCATGGACACAAAGGCCACCCAGGTCGTCCCCACTGGTCATGCTGTGGGAAGTTTACCGAGAAGTCCGAATGCACGTGGACAGGTGGGCAGAACGCAGCGAGGAGTCTGCTCAGGACCGTGGCACTCTGAGTTCCCTGGGTCAACCTGCAAAAGCTGCAACCAGCACCACTTTGGATTGCCAGAAGACCCCAGGCCTTGATTCATTCCGAAGAAACTGAGAGTCTAAAAACAAAGTGCCTTATCTATACTCTGGTTAAGCATCTTTTGTGAGTGACTCACTGATTGCATGCGCGGGCTCCACCTCTGCGGCTCTTGGGACCGGTCAGCAGTGTTCCTCCTGCACCAAGGAGGCGGTCTTCTGTTAGCGGCACAGAAGGATTCTGTGCCATTGTCTTAGAGCTCATGGGGATAGTTTGGTTCCTTACTTTTTTTATAGTTAACCTTTCTTTTATTTCCCCTTGAGCTACATTTTATATAGATATTTTCCTCAAAAATAAAAACTCACTGCTGCACATTCTTCCACTTTTCACCAGCACAGTTTGAACGGATTATAATGTGATCTTGCTGTTTAGGTAGAAGTCCCCTCCTCCTCCTCCATGCCGTGTACATCTCCTACCTCGAGCCCAGAAGATTACTACTTGGTTAAGGGCACACAAGCAGTAAGTAAATAAAGGGAAATGGTGTTGAAATAGAACTTCATACATTTATTGCAGTTCTGCTCATTCCAGGTGATCTAGCTACCCTCATCCTCCTCACCTCTCTCAATGCCCTTGGTTTTTTAAAGAGTAGTCGTCACTTTTGTCTATGTACCTAGAAAGTCAGCAGGCAGTTTGACCCCTAAGAGTGTGCCTACTTAGAGTAGAAAAGAATTCTTGGTGTAGGAAGTACACAGCAGATCACTTTCCCCAGAAATGTCGTCTTCTGGTTTTGGTGGCATCACTCTTCTCATTTCTCCTGCCACTGACTTTCCTTCTCAGTCTTCACTGGTTCCTCCTCTCTCCAGTCTACGCGTTGGAAAACCCCAAGGATCAATCGGTTCTTGCATTTCTATTTCTTCCCACTCCCTAGAATAGATGATCTCATTCTCTCATGCCTTTAAACACATTTATACACTGGTGACTCCCAAATTTATCTCCAGCTCCAAATTCCAAAGAATTATATCCAGTACCTTACTTAATATCTCCACTTGGATATATCACAGGCACTGCAAATTTATTATTATTTTATTTTCAAGATATATTTTTGTTGGTTTTTTTTTTTTTTAGAGAGAGGAAGGAAGAGATAGAAACATCGATGTGAGAGAGATATATCAATCTGCTGCCTCATGCACTCCCCCCACTGGGGATCGAGCCAGCAACCTGGGCACGTGCCCTGACCAGGAATTGAACTGGGACCTCTCAGTCCATGGGACAATGCTCAATCCACTGAGCCACACCAGCCAGGCAGGCATCTCAAATTTAAAATGTCCAAAACAGAACTCCCAATTTCCAGTTCTCACTTTCTACCTGCCTATACAACCCAATAGTTTCTCCTGCAGTCTCCTGCTTGTCTTTGAAAGTCCAAATCCATTCTTACAGGTTGTGGAATCAACACCCGGACTCCCCTCTCATGCACCACAGCCAATCCAGGGCGAATCCTATCAGCCATCCTTTCAAAATACCTCCGCCGAGCATTGCTCTCCACCTCCACTGCTACCATCCTAGACACCAAGATTTCTCACCTCGAGTGTGCCACCTAGCTTGTCTCTTTGCTTCCACCCGTACCCTCCTATGGACTATTCTCCACAGAAAGGTCCTTTTAAAACACCTCAGATTATGTCAGTCTTCTGCTCAACACCTTCCAATGGCCTCCCAGTCCTTACGTCAGATGTAAGACCCTGCATGACCTGCTCTTCTCTCATTTCCTACCTTACCCACCCTCCCCTCCACCCATCACTCTATTCCAGCCAAACTGGCCTGCCTGGTGCTCCTCAAACTCTCCACGTACTCTCTGTCCTGCAGCCTTATCGCCGCTCCATCTGGAACGGTCTTATCACAGATACCTACATGATTCACTCATTTTCCTCAGGTTTCTGCCATGTCAAGTATCTTCCTGGAGATATCCCTAAGTGCCCTGTATAAAACAGCAACCCTCCCCAACCAGGACTCCAAATTACCCTTACTCAGCTTCATCACCATCTACCATGTATATTCCATTTGTTTAATGTCTGCTCTTATACTAGACTAAGCTCTATGAAGGCAGAGACTTGGCATTTACTAACTACTATATTGTCCCTGTGTATATTGTTCCTGGCAAAGAGTAGTGGCTTAATATTTTGTTTAATGAATAAAGATCTAATTGGTTGAATTTTGAGTCTAGATTTCCTTGGTATCTTTCTACAAGCCAGACATCCCTTCCCCCAAACTCCAGTGTTTGTCATTTAACCAAATACCACTTAGAAAAAATCTCGGCCTTCTTTCAAACATGTTGGATAAATTAAATGCTCCTTAGGGACCAGCCTTGAATTTTCTAATGAGCTCAGACAGCTAGGGAATTGCTTGCCAAGAAGAAGCTATTGTAGTTACATCATTTCGCTCCACATGTCTTTTAACAATCAGATTTCAGAAATGAGAATAAAAAGCTTATTTATTTCAGTTGGAAAAAATTTCAGTAATTGGATAACTCCACTGTAGATGAGCAACAGAAAACTTCTATAAGATAGCTAGGTTTAGGCAAATGTCCTAGCCTTTAAGCAATATTAACGCAACAGTTCCATTACAAATATTAATAAAGTGTATAGAGGTGGTGGCGGTGGGGGGGATCCCATTCCTTGTCCTTTGCTACAGTGGAATCTAAACACAATTCGATTTAACTTCCCTGCCAGCTGAAAAACCTGGCAAAGTAAGAGTAAGCTGCAGAGCTCAAGACTCCAAGGTGAGGAGAAAGAAGTCTGAGCACTTAGGAATTGCCCCCAGTGTAACAAAGTGCTTCAGAGATCACCTTTGAGTTGTGAGCACTGAAGCATCAACATGATGCAGTATTATGATGTAAGTTATATCTCCGGTGTTAATAGGTAAGAAAAAAGAGCCACAATTACAGCCTCCGTCCTCTGGGATGTTATAACAGGATAAACACCTTGGCTGTCTTGGATAACAAACACACACATATACCCGTCAGCCCACCATTCTCTAATCTCTGAAATGCAATAGCTGCTCAGCTTTACTCCAGAGGATGTATACCTGTGTGTTAGGTTGGTCTCAGTTAAGAGGTGGCTGGGTGACGTGAACACTAATGAAAAGCAGAATATAGAGGCATTTCACACTTGGCCTTGTTACTTTTTACATAAGGATTCCAACTTCACCACTTCTTCAAAGAAGCCTTCCCTAACCAGGTCAAATCCTCGAGCCTAGCCCTCTCAGCTACACGGACCTCTGCATGTGGCCCTCATCACCATTGCCACTTGATGGTCATTCGTGAGGAACTGAGTAATGCCTGTCTCCCCTCCAGGACTGTAAGCCTCAGGAGGACGGGGAGTGTTTTTGGTTTTATATTTTCAATGTCCAGCAGTGCCTGACACAATATATATATATTTTTTAAATTAATGTATAATTAAGCAGTAAGAGCATTCTCTCAATCTTTCCTTTCATATATAATTTCTATCGACACTCAGATTCGGCTAAGGATTCTGGGAAAGGACTCAAGCCAGTCAAGACACTGTGTACTGCATGTCTGTGTCCCGTTCCTTCCCTGGGGCTAGGCTTTGTCCCCTAGCTACTGAATCCTGTGGTACTTTGTACTATAACTGATCCTAACTTCATTTTTACTTATGAAAACATTTTAACCTAGGTTATATGTCTATGAATTCTAAATTCCTACTATAACTTGCTTTGTGACTGTAGGTATGCTTCTTAATTCTATCTTTTCCTAGGGCTAGAGATACACAGCAAACAGTACAATATCCCTTGAGAGAACCCAGTTCTATGGTAGACAGCAAGACTGCAGACAACCCGAAAGGCCACACTGAGCACTGGCATCTCCTCGGTCTCCCCACTAGTGCAGGAGAAGCTGGCTTCGCCTATGAGGCCTGCTGAAAGCCACTTCACGGCAACAGAGACCATCAAGAGAGGAAACCACCCATGTTCCTAATAGTCCCACTAAATTACAGGTGCTAGAGAAATGGGTCACGTCCCACGAAGATATCAATCCACCTACTGGTGTTCATGATGACTACATGACAACAGGAGTCCTTGGTGGGGTTTTTTAAGGGCCAGGGTTCCATCCAGCCATGGCAAGTACAATGAATGCCCTTTCTTCATCAATTCTGCTGGAGAAGTCAAACTAGAAACTGGATGGAACCCTGGCCCTTAAAAAACCCCACCAAGGACTCTTGCTGTCATGTCGTCATCAGGAACACCCGTGGGTGGATTGATATCTTTGTGGGACGTGACCCAAACTAGAAAACTTCCATGAAGGCAATTCTGTCACATCGGAAATACCCTGTAACCCGGGTGCTCAGCAATGCTGTGCCTTGGAGACAGATGTTCACCGTCTGGCTTCTAGCTGCACCCATGCTGCTGTTTGAGTCTCATGTTCCCAGGCCTGGTCCCACAGCAGTAACAGCGTTTGTACGGTCTGTCACAGTTTACAAAGCACTTACCACCTCATTTTGTCCTTGTCCAAGTCTGGTGGGGCAGCAAGCAGATGGAACAAGAAAACCTGGCAGTTGTGATGTCGCAGAGAAAGGCTGGCTGACACCCGCAGGACTCCTAGGGCAGCACCTCAATTAGACCACTACACTGTGGGATGTGGCCCATTGCTGGAGGGGACCAAGACCCACCTGTCATGCCCAGACCTTAAAAAACCGACTCATAGTAACTAAAATGAACGTGAGCCTGAGAGTGTCACCAGAATGCCACTTATATTAATTAATCCATGAGAAATGTTCACCCTGGGGCTAGGATTGACCATTTAGTGTATTTCATGCCATCAGGGCAGTGGTTCCAATTTTTGCTGGACCCAACTCAAATCAATAGCCTCTCACTGTTAGAGGAACACCTACCCAAGACATAGTTAGGCGGCTCTGCTAGCTTAGCATCAGAACAAGGAACACTAGAGAAACTATTTGTGACACCAGAACAAGGAACACTAGAGAAACTTTATTGTACCAGAAGGAATCTTACAGTAGATTACATTTGTCTATGGACTCTGAATACTGTAGGCTATAATCCCTTTATCTATTTTCAGACCAAAAGCAAAAATACTTGAACTTCAAAGTTAACAGCTCCTCTCTCCTAACCAGCACCTGGAATGGACACTGACAGTATTCATCTAACCTGCCTTCTGACAACCTGCTGTTTACCTAGTCAAACGTACAGCGTGTGTCTGTTACTGAATTCCCAGTGGAGCACAGTGAGATATATGCTAATCCGCACATCTAACAGATAGCAGAACGGAGATGCTCAGGGAATCTGTAACTAGCCTAATATCACACAATCAGCAAGTGGCCTGGGAGCCACTGCTTCTCAGGTGGCACTTATCTTTGCCCCGTGTGTTGATCTTATAGCATAATTCCCGCAGAGTAATCTTACGTCTTTCATTCCTGATTTTATCAGGGACCTCACTGTAGCTGCTGAGTTCTGAAAACAATACCCACCTTACTAATGTGGAAACCAAAGTATAGAGAAGTTAAGGAATTTTGCAAGGTTACACCCCCAATCAAGGTGAACCTGGAACTGACTTAAGTCTACGTTCTGCACTGAACCCTTCCTACCAGGCCATACCATCTCTACCTCTGCAGGTTTTTAGACTTTGCTTTTTGGAGACCTCCTTGCCTACACAGGCTCCAGTGCCCCAGTTTACACCATGACTGGGTTAACACAGGATTTCACTTCCTACTCTAGGAAGAACCACAATTCTTTATGGCGTAAGTTAGCAGAATAAGTTTTCTGAAAACGATTGCTAATGGGAAGAAGGAAATCTGAATAGTTTCCAAAGTGTAAAAGTCTCCAGAGTTTGTATTAGGGTACTAACTGCTACATAAACAACCCCCAAATCTCAGTGGCTTAAAAAAAATTACCTTGTGAGCATGTCTAATGCGAATGAGCTGGGGTGAGAAGGCAGGCACATATGGGGAAGGCTTTTGTTACAGTCATTCAGGGACCAAAAGGGTACGTGGCCAAAAAACAGGGTAAGAGTCCCTATCTAGAGGCTTCACAATTCTCTAGGGCCTTGTAGTCTTCCATCAGGTCCTTTGCATCAAGTGGGCCGATGAAGGAAGAAACGGTCTGAAGAATTACTTGCAAAGTTTTAGAGGAAAGATAAAAAAATGACTTGTATCATTTTTGTCCTTATTCCCTTGGTGAGAACACTGTAATATGACCCAAGTAACTGCAGCAAAGACTGGGAAATGTAGTCCCTCTGAGTGCCCAGGAGGAAAAGGAAATGCAGTTTAGTGAACACAACATTAGCTCTGTTACACTGTCAAACACATTAGATTACACCAGTGACAATTCCACCGCTAAATGAGACAATGGTACAAAGACTAAATGACACAACAATGCTAATTGAAACTTTAACACTAAATGCTACAAATACTGTAGATTTGTAAACATACAAATACTGTAACAGTGATACAAATATTAAATTTTGATACAAACAGTTCATGATATGATGGCAGTATGAAATGGTATAACCCTAAATGATGTACAAAGCACCTCCTTGATCTTACCCCTCAGGGGAGCAGTGCCTGAAGTGAGGACACTACAGAGGAATGGCTGGAGGGTCTGCTCTCCGCGTGGCCCATAAAGAGATGGTCACAGGAGCAGCCTCATCGGCAGGAGAGAAAAGAGATGGGACGGAGTCTGTGTTACAAAAGGTAATAACACTAGGTCCCCCATCAGCTGAGACAAGAAAGGCAACAGACCTTTATTGAAGCTTATGCACAACTCTCCCAGAGTGGTTTTCCAAAATCATCTAACACTAAAACACTTTCTTTTATCTGAAGTCATGTATTAACTTGTATGTCATTCATCAAATAAGTTGACTGACTGACCAATTGGTTAACATGATAACTGGTTCTCAATTCTGGGGATTAAAGTATGCCTCGCTGTGGGGAGGGCCTCGGGCTTGATGGTGAAATGGAACGCCAGGAAGAGCTCGAAGGACCACGAGTAGGTTATGCCCCTAGACCCTAATACAAACCAACAGTGCCACACCATTCTGAGCCCTATAAACAGGAAGTTAGATGCCAAAAAGGACTTTGAGGTCAGCCAAGGTGAGCCTGGTGACAGATTCTCCAGATCCTGATAGAACCTGTTTGGCCAAATCTTTCTTTTTCTTTTGGAGCTGCAAGATCTTCTCTTCCACTGTTCCCTCACAAACAAATCTGAAAACCAGACAAGCAAACAATCAGAAACCCAAAGATGCATATCTAATTACATGCTCAAACTTCTACTTATGCTTTGGTTTTTAAATGAGGTTCCTTCCTTTATGTACTTAAGCTTTCTTAGGTTTGGTTAAGAACTCTATGTTTAGTCCTGGCTGGTTTGGCTCAGTGGTTGGAGCATCAGCCTGAGGACTGAAGAGTTGAGGGTTTGACCTGGTCAGGGGTGCGCGGGAGGCAGCCAACTGATGTGTCTTTCTCACATCGATATTCCTCTTTCTCCCCTCCTCCCTTCCACTCTACCTGGAAATCAACGGAGGAATATCCTTGGGTAACGATCAAAAAAAAAAAAAAGAACTCTATGTTTAGGCAATCCAAACAACCCTGCCTAAATATATGTCCATTCAAAATGATGTGATAGATTTTTTATTTCTTTCCAAAGCAAAGGGCATTGAGAAATGCCAAAATAAGCAAAAGATATCCCTATCCAAAAAACGTACAGAGAGCCAGCTTTCACACAAAAAGCTCCAACTTGATGAGATCAGAAGGCCTTGAAGCTTCTCAGGTTTCTGCTAGGTATGTGTGCTACTTTTAAAATAGAGTAACTTATTTCTGGGCTAATTCACACTGAATACAGAAAATGCCACTGTTGTCATTCCATCACTCATCCAGTACTGATTAAGCATTCACCATATGCTATGACTACGCTAAGTGTAGGTGTGGAGAGATTAACAGTCTTACTCTCAAAGAGAACACAAGAGACAGAGATAAAAATAAACAATAATAATACCACTGAGAAAGCGCTATGATGGAAATGTGTTCAGTGTGCAAAAGGAGCAAGAGGCAATCTTTCTGGAGTACTGAGGGGGCTCCACGTAAGAGTTAATGCTCAATGTGTGACTTGGAGGATGCACAAGGGTTTGCCAGATGGAAGAGGGGGAGGGCTTCCCATGGAATAGGGACGTATGTAAAACCATGGCTGAGCTATAGAACATGGCATGTGGGGTGGAGACCATGTCATCCAGCCTGGCCAGGGCACAAGTCAGAAGGACTCCCCTGTGCTGTGTTATAAGGGTAGAAGCTCAAGAGGCTGGTGGGCCCGATCATGAGTGGCTCTGCGTGTCACACTAAGAAATTTCAATGAGAAAGAAGGAAGGGTAGTAGGGCTGGGAAGGGAGGGATAGCTATAAGAAACATTTAGCAAATAAAATAGACTTGGTAGGTGAAAAGTGAGAAAGAGGAAGAAGCCTAGTTTCTGGCTCTATTATCAAACAGAAATAGTCTTCACAAAAACAAGGAATTCAGAACAATAATTGGCTATGATGTGGTGAAAAGAAACAATTTCAGTTTGCGACATTTTGAGTCCCTGGAATATGCTACATAGTGAGTGCTCAATAGGTATTGGTTTTATGAGCTGAATGAGATGAACGCATGAGTGAAAGAAGAATGGGTGAGTGTGTGGACATTCAGATACGGGGCAGGGATTTGGGTATCTGGGTCTAAAGTTTAGGGGATCTCGGATGTGCAGACACCGATTTTGGAGTTACTGGAGCAGACAGGATTCTTAAGGGAAGTGCATTCACAGTGAGAAAATAGGAAAACTAACATAATCGCTGTATTTGGCAAGTTTTGGAATTCATTGATGGCCCTTAATGAGTAATTTCAGTGGAACAATAGGGGTGAAAGTTAGTTAGTAAAGGCTGAGGAATGAATGGGAGGTAAGCAAGTAAAGATAGTCACTGATTCCTAATGCTTCAGGAAACATGGCCCTGAAAGGAAGGAGAAAAAGAGGCCCATGGCTAGAGTGGACTGTAGCATCAAGACAGGTTTTCGTTGTGTTTTTTTTTTTTTTTTTAAAGAGAAGAGGGTCCTGAAGAAAGGAATATTTTATAAAATTACTGGCTTGTGCTCTTCAAAAATATCAGTGTCATAAAACACACACAAAAAGACTGAGATATTGTTTCAGATAAAAGGAGACAAAAGAGTCATAACAACAGAGTGCTTGCTACGCAGGATCTAGGATTTTCTTTTGCTGAGAAGACACCGAGACAAGTGGCAAAACAGAATAAAGTCCATAGCTCAGGTAGTAGTATTGTATCATTGTTAACATCCTGATTTTGATCACTTTATGTGGTATAAGCATCATGCCTGCAACTTACTCTCAAATGATCCAGAAAAAAAGTTTTCATGCATATGCACACAGAAATTTTTTTGCATTACTTTTTTTTTTCTTTTGTTGATTTTTAGAGAGAGGAAGGGAAAAAGAGAGAGAGATAGAAACATTGATGAGAGAGAACATCAGTTGACCGCCTCCTGCATGCCCCTCACTGGGGATCTGGCCCACAACCTGGGCATGTGCCCTGACCAGGAATCGAACCTGCCACCTCTTGGTGCATGAGTTGACGCTCAACCACTAAGCCATACCAGCAGGGCTTTTGTATTATTCTTGTAAGAATTTTTACATTCTTTTTTTATATGTCTGAAATTGTGTCAAGTTATGGGAGGGAGGGAGGGAGTCAGTCCTTTCATGGGCTGCCTTGACCGAGACAAGCTCCCCGTTACAGACAAGCTCACTCTTCTGCAGAGGCCAACTGCAAGGCCATCCTCAAGTTGCCTGTGTCCCCTTCCTGACTGTGAGTACCAAGGAGGGTGTGCCTCAGGAGCATCAGTAATACAGTGATCACCAAATACTTCATATTCCATTAAAACACTGCACACATTTGCACGAAAGCAGAACTTGGGAAGGGTCCTAGGTCCTGGGAGACCTTTACTTACCTGTGTATGACAACATCTTTCTGCTGTCCTACTCGGTAAATTCGGTCACAAGCTTGATCTTCGAGTGATGGATTCCTGGTAGAAGAGAGGTAAAGCTCAAGGTACTGTTACCTTAGGCTAGAAGCGGCCGTCTTTAGTATGGTTCTTTTGCTAAAAATGTCTATTAACATTAAAAAACAAATTTCTTCTTCCTTTATTGATTTTAGAAAGAAAGGAAGGGAGAGGAAGAGAGAAATAAAAACATTGATGAGAGTCTGGCCGGTATGGCTCAGTGGTTGAACACTGACCCATGCACCAAGAGGTCGCCAGTTCCCAGGTTGTGGGCCCGGTCTCCATTGGGGGGCATGCTGGAGGCAGCCAATCGATGTTCTCTCTCATCAATGTTTCTCTTTCTCTCTCCCTCTCACTTCCCATCTCTCTAAAATCAATAAAGGGAAAAAAAAGAAACAAAATCCCACAATGAAGAATATGCAACAAAGATTTGTGTAGCCTGCAAAGCCTAAAATATTTATTATCTGGCCTAAAATATTTACAGAAAAAGTTTATTGATCCCTGTCCTAGGCATATTGGCCTCAGAAAAATTAGTGTCAGATATTTTCCTGCCCTCTAACGAGAAAGTGGGGTCATTGCTAATAATAACTTAGTACTATCACCAGTTCACAACTGTAAGTAACAGAGGAAAAACAAACTTCAAATGTGGTCACTAACTAGCTGGGTGATCCTGGGCAAGTCATCTAACCTCAACCCTCTACTTTTCACATTGCTACTTTGAGATGTGACAGCTGGCTAATGACCTTGAATACCTTTCTCATCTTTCATATTCTGTGATTCAAGGAAGAAGATAATGTGTTTCCTTCTTTATAGATTTTCATTCTCAACTCCAGACTAGTCTCTCTTCTTACTGCTTTAAAATCTTAGATAACACTTCTCCATTTCAGAAAATAGTGTACTTCCCAGTCTGCCTTCCTCACTCACAGATACACTCACACATACAGGTACCAAGTAAGACCTGAACACATTCTCCAGGGTGATAGTATCAGGCTGGGCTGTGGAGAATTAGACCTACGTGCACCAATGCCTGGCTGGCATGACCGGAAAACCAAAAGCTGGGACTAATTATGACACTTTCTCCTAACAACACACTGACTCATTTATCTTATTTCCAGGAAAGGTGCTGTCATGCTCCTGGTGCTGATTCTATGTGGGAGGCCAAGGGCGAGATGTTAAGTGTATTCCTAATGTAATTAGAAAAGCCCTCCCCTTTTCCTTTTAGAGTAATGCTGCTCCCTCTTTTCCAGGGTTGAGAGTTCCCTAGACGTCAACAAATACATCTGAAACACAGTATTTTGAAGAGGTAAAACTGAGGGATGGAGCTCTTAGCCAAGAGGAAAAGCCGGGCTTTCAGTTTCCATGGAAACAGACATTAGAATAACAAAAGAGAGCCTGCACTATTTTCACAGTAGCATTTGAAGCCTTGCAAGCTCAGGAATTCATGGCTGTCAGCTAGCCCTGCTGCCTGCTTAGATCTGCACCGACACACTCCTGGGCACAGAGGCATCGCCCTAACACACACAGAGCAGAGTCCACAAAGAAGACAGGCTGCCCCTCTAGCCTCCGGTTCCCTGCTCTGCGGTGAAACGCAAGAGAAATTCAGAATTTTTACCAGTGCATATCCAGAAGAAAAAGATGATTTCCTCCAGTCAGGTTTAGACCAACACCTCCAGCCAAAAGAGAGATTAGCATAACCTTCAAAAGAAAGCACACCATTAACTTCACATAATACGCCGCCTCTCCTGTTTCAGGTTCAAGCCCCACATTAATATAGGGAAGCACCGTGTTCCTATCCAATTTCCTTCTGCTGTTGTAAACGCACTATTTTGAAACTGAGATGCCCCACCTTTGAGAAAATTCTTACTTCACATTTTTTTGGTGCATGAATCTCAAAAACATTGTGTGCCTGCCAAAATATACAAATACCACACTCTCGAAGATGGGGGGGGGGGGGTTAGCTCAGCACCCTTTCCTTGAACCCGATTCTGTCCATTCCATCAGTCTGCATCCCACCCCTCCACTGCCGTGATCCTGCCTCACTCACCGCTGCTTTCCAACGTCTTATCCATCGTTAGAGGCCTTCGTTCTAACACTTCCCCCATATTTCCTCATATCCAAATCTCACCTGTTCTGCAAGACTTGCCTCCTCCACAAAGATTCTCTTGATCCTACCCAGTTATGCTCTCACTCTCCTTTCGCCCTCATATTTTATTCTCTTTGGAGTATTTGCATACTTTGATATGCACCCATAAATGTCTAATAAATTAAAAAGACCTGAAGGGATCAAAGCTATGAATATATTTAAATTGAACTGCTACATTAGAATCCTCTGTATAATTGAGAAAAATTTGCCCTTAATTCTACAACTCTGATGTGACCAGCTCATACCTGAGGGCTCCTGGAGTTGTTAAATGCCTCCACCAAGTCCATTCTCTGTTTGGGGTTGACAGAGCCATCGATGGTGGCATAAGTCAGTTTGTACCTCTTCAGGTGCCTCGCTACCACCTTCAGCATGCTGGTCCACTGAGAGACAATGACACTGGAAGGAAGAAAAAACAAACCACCCACCCCCCCAAGCCAATGAAACTCATCTGCAGGGCTGCAATGCCCCTATACATCCTAAGATTCAGTTGTCAAATGTGGATGAGGAGCGGCCTTCTGTGACCTAAGGTGGGAAGGTACATGCTTAGGTTATGTTTTAAGATTATAATGTGGATAAATAAATAAATTATGACATTGTAAAGAAGATGACAATGCTCCCGGCTGTTTCTGGGTCCAGCCTACCATGGATCTGTACTAACTGTAGTCAGGATAAAGTGGTGACTAGACCGAAGCAAGCACTGTAGCCTCCTATTATTTGGGGGTCGATTGTTCAATCAGAGGAGCTCTGTGGTCCTGCAGAAAAGGGACTCAGGCCACCCCCCTTTGCCAGTCATAATAACAAGCTGCTAGGACTTTTCCACTCCCCTCACTCAACCCCTCTATGCTGTTTTAATTAGTTTTAAGTTTTTAGATAAAAATATTTCATATATACAAATGCAGATTTATAACATACATATAAGTTGTAACAAACAACAAATGGACTGCCTGCTCACACAGCTCTCCCTCCCTTTTCATTTGTTATTCTCTTGCTTTTCTTTAGATACTTTTCTACTTTCAAACATTTCTTCGGAGGCTTAGCTTACTCTGATCCTCTAGGGATTTCCTTTTCAATCAGTGCCACAAATATTGTCATCAGGGAGCATAGGGATGTTGTGATATAACCTCAGGGCTTTCTGCTAAGCATGACTCAAGGTCCTTGATATAAAGAGCTAAGATTTATAACTATCAGCAATACCAAATTTTCTTGCTTAATTACAAGTAATACCTAATAATGAAATAACACATTTACCTCTTTTGAGACCCTGCATTTCTTTGGATTGCGTCCAATTCTACCAACAGAGATGAGATCTGGAAAAGGTTACATTAACATATATAGGTTTAAGCACTTTTCTCCATTATCCCTACCCTGGACCAGTACCCTGGACGGCCTCTGCTTCTGGTCTGACCCTCCCCTCCCCCCCTCTCCTCTCCGTAGCCAGACAGCTGTTTGTAAAATGTCAGTGTGTCACTTCCCGCCCTGGCTCAAGACCCCGGAGTGGATTGCCACTGAAGAGAAAGCCCAGCTCCGCACAGTGATCCTGCTGCTCTGGCCTTTCTGTCTCTAGCTGCGTCTCTCACTACGTCCCCCTCAAACAACACTCGTCATACCAAAGTTCTTCCTCCACCAAGCCATGCTTTGTCTTATCTTTGTCCATTCTGTTCCCCTTGCCTAGGACACCCTAACATGTCTGCTTAACATCACTTCTTCTTGGAGGTCCTCCCTAGCCCCCAAAGTATGGACCAGGTGCCCACTGCCTATATGCTACTATATAGCACATTTGGTTTCGATGACCATGGTCTTTTTCATACTATGTATTCATTGCTTTTTAAATCATCTCTTGCTTTCATGACTTGAGATGCTCCAAGGAGGCAGAGGCGGCCTACGTCTGGTGCCCTTCTGCACCCTGGCAGCAAGCACATCACCAGACCAGAGAAAGCACCCCCTAACACTAGTGGAAGGAGGTGTGAATGCGTTCCCCTGCTGAAGGCCTGTTCCAGATGCTGTTAAAGGAGAGGCCGTGTCCAGACTGCGGAACACGTGCTAAAGCTTCTAAACAAACTCTTTGGGTATTTACCAGAACCTCTCAGGGCACATGTGCGTTCCGAGGGGACCAGTCAGCAAAAACACATGGGCATGCTTCTGGACAGCAGCTGAGTTCATTCTTCCTGACTGCTAACGTGAACGACCTTTCAAAAGCCTCTTAAGGGCCCGAGAGTTCATCCCCAGAATGGTGGAGGGGGAAGAAAATTAGACCAGGAATCAGGAGATGAAGAAAGTTTTTACTTTGCTATCACCTGACGGTATCACCTCAGAACCCCCAGTTAAGAGTTCAGGTTCCTCATCAGTAAAAAATGGGGCTGAGCCCTGGCCAGTTTGGCTCAGCGGTTAGAGCTTCGGCCTGTGGTTCAGAGAGACCCGGGTTCGGTTCCCGCTAAGGGCACGTACCTCGGTTGCAGTTTGTCCCCGGCCCTGGTTGGGTCGTGTGGGTGGCAGCCACTCGATGTGTCCCTTTCACGTCGATGTTTCTCTCTCTCTCTCTTCCTTCTACTCTATCTGAACAAAAAATAAAAAAATGTCCTCGGGTGAGGATAAAAAAAAAAAAAAAAAAAAATGGGGCTGAGCAGATGAACCCTGAGGTACCCTGAGCCCTTGCACTCTCCACCGTCACTGTAGCGGCTCCTGTAGGGCCCCCACACACGCAGCTGCTGCCCAGTCTGAACAAACATGCTGATGCCCGGGCAGGGAGGGCGTCACAGGACTTCGACCATTGTGAACTAGTAGGAAGGAAAAAAGCAGGTATGTGAAATGTGTGGTATCTTGGCAACTCAAGGTTCTGGAAGGTGCTCTGACTGCCACATGAAAAAAGTGGTGATGAATAATTTGAAAAAACTGTCGTGAGAGAGCAAGACTATGGTCCATGTGCTGGGGTCAAATTCAGGTAACATTCTGCCTGAGATTAGGTTTATGTTACCAAAGAAAATTCCCTTCCCTTCCTTCATTGAACAACCATAAGTGGTGTCAACTACGATTAAAATGGCTTTATCCTAAGAAGACTTGTGAATGAATATTACCCGACTATTAGACAAGGAACATGAATTATTAGGAATATAAGTTTTAACCCCATAGCTAACTTTGAAGGCACCAGGACAGGAAGTCTGGCCCCATATGGTGCTCTTATGTTTCTCAGTTATTAGTGGTAAAGACCTAGATAAATATTTTAAATTTTTGATTGAAAGTATTTTTAAGTAACAACATTCCTTTGGCAGTGACCTCCTTTCTAGTTACTTTTTTTATCCTCATCTGAGGACATTTTTTTTTTTTCTTCAGATAGAGCGGGAGGGAGAGAGAGAAACATCAACATGAAAGGCACATATCGAGTGGCTGCCACCCGCACGACCAACCAGGGCCGGGGACAAACTGCAACCGAGGTACATGCCCTTAGTGGGAACTGAACCAGGGTCTCTCTGGACCGCAGGCCGGCGCTCTAACCACTGAGCCAAACCAGCCAGGGCTCTAGTTACTTTTTTTAAGTCTTTGAAGAAAGAGGTTGAGGCTAGGGATGGGCTTACGACGAAAGGCAGGACTCAAGTTGCAGCACCTCTCGGCCGTCCTCTAACAGAGCTCTTCAGCCTTCAAGAGCTTTAATGAGTAGAACAGAATGACTAATGAAGACAGAAGGCCATGCAGGAAACACTGCTCGCAGATGGAAGCCTTTCAACAAGTCAAAGCAGTGGCGCTCAGATGTACTGCACAGCTTCTAGCGTGCAGCTTTTGTTGCTTTCCTTCAAAGCTTTCCCGAAACAAACCGCTGGCTCACTTCAGCCTGTGCTAACATACACCTGACAGCTCCTTTCCCAGTGATCCACTCCTGGGTTGGCCCAAGTCACTCTCCGAAAGCCCACTATGTAACTTTAATTTTATTTGTAAAATAAAATTAGAATTTAAGACTGGAGGAAGAATTTGACCAGCTAAAATCAAATAGAACTAGCTCTGCCACCAAATGACTGTACTCGCTTGGATAAATGTATAAGGAGTCCAAGTCTGTCCACCAGAACACAGGTGACCAAGTACCTTGGTGCTCTCTCTCATGTCTTCAAAAAGCTCCGCCTTGAAGCACTCGCCATTAAGGGAAACAGTAGATGGGTCCGAGTTCTGGAGCTCGGACAAGGTCAAAGCACTGAGCTGATCCTCCAGGGACAAGACCAGGCCTTCATTCTTCAGTTCTGTCGGATCCAGGGCCTGAGCAGAACACAGACATGGGACAGAAGCAGATGGGCATTTGAGGCAGCAAGCCGTATGACTCGCCAATGAAGCTTGTTGATTATTAACACTCGGCACAGCAAAATGTCTTCTAATGTATTACCAGTATCTCCTTAGAAAAACCCTGATTAAAATGTAATCTTGCAAGTTTTTGCACCAGATTAAAGATAAATCGAATGATAGAACTTTTTAGGGACTTGCCAGACAGATCACATGATCATTCTTTTACCCCAGCTGGGAAACTACAGTAAATTAAGCTACTGATAACCAGGATACATTACAACTTCTCAAAAGAGTAAAGTACTCCTCTTAATTATGGATGTGCCTGTCTCCAACATAAAAGCAACATATCCAATTGTATAAATACGTGAGTTTTCATAACTAGACTTAAAAGCCTTAATCTTGCCTGAAGGCAAAAGCAAAAAAGTAACTAAATTAGCTTTATGATATTCTAAAATACCAAAGAATTCATAATGGTTTCCTTTGTAACAAAATGCCATTTTCCATTCTTTAAAAATTATTTAAAACAAACAATAAAAACTGTTCTCAACACCATGGACATTATCAAGATCAATGAAGATGAATATAAGACAAAGTAAAATAAACAAGCACCCTCTTTTCTGCTCTAACAAAACCCAAAGGCTCACACAAAACACCATTTTCCTTGATGCAGCAGAATGGATCCCAGGTGCAGAGACAGACATGGATTTCCCACCAGCCCCTCTGGATACGAAGCTAAAGACTTTTCTTACCGACTTCAACAAAGAAAGATGACAGCAACACTGGCGAAGTCTCAACAAATGTGACAATATGTGGACGGTGCTGGATCTCTGTGAGTCTTCGGCCACAGAGTGTCCAGGCCCACTGGACCCAAACTCCTGTGCCACTTCAGGAAGGAAAACACACCACAGGAAACAGTAAGGGTTTAAAACAGAGAAATATGGGAACGAAACAAGAACTAAATGATGCTATTTTAAACTTTTTTGGCCCTGGCCGGTTTGGCTCAGCGGTTGGAGCACTGGCCTGCGGACCAGAGAGTCTCGGGCTCGGGTCCCGCTAGGGGCATGTACCAAAAATAAATAAATAAATAAATAAATAAATAAATAAATAAATAAATAAAAATAAACTTCTTTGATCTGTGACTCAATAATAGAGTTATAATTCACTTCTATACCAAATAAGCCAAATGAAATGCTGGTTTTCTTTACAGAACTACTTATATTTAATAGAGATTTTGAAAATAATTAAGAAGAAGCTCAGGTTACCAGGACTGACACTTAAAGATCAGTGTATTATACTTTGCTTTGAGATTCCGAGCAGAGGTCAAGTCTCTGCTCCCAAGAATTCACCACCTCCCACTGCTGTGATTTTATAAATATGAGTTCACATTTTCATTAGTTATTTATGAGCATCCCACTGCTTACCTCTACTGAATGGATTATCAGGGCTTCGTCCAGACTGGTTGTCTCCTCTTTCCTGTCTTTTTAGATAGGACTGTAGAGCTGACCTGCCTCAGATCAAAAAAGAAAACGTACATATAATGTTTGCTACAACCAAATATGTTTACAGTGGTCACTGCTCAACTGTGCTTGCCTTTAAAAACTGTAAGAGTGGCCTTTAAAAACTATGAGTGGACTTGTTAGCCCTGAATGGTTTGGCTCAATGGTTAGAGTGTGGCCCACAGGCCAGAGAGTCCCAGATTCAGTTCCTACTAAGGGCACGTACCTCGGTTGTAGTTTGTCCAGGCCCCCGTTGGGGTTGTGTGGGTGACAACCACGCAATGTGTCTCTCTCACATCGATGTTTTTCTCTCTTTCTTCATCCCTTTCTCCCTCCCGCTCTATCTGAAGATAAATGCAAAAATGTCCTCGAGTGAGGATAAAAAAAATAAAAGTGAACTTGTTAAATGATGTCAGGTTCATAACAAACATTGGCCAAAGGTAACAAAAAATAACTATTAAAAAAACCCAAATCATATTTAAATGATTAAAAATAATATATCAATATAAAATGTTAAAATATGTAATACTAATATATAATATACTGATATGTTGATATTATTAATTAGTGTACTATATTATTATTATTTATTGATAAATATTAGTAAATACAAGGTATACAAAGAGAAAAAATATACTCATGCTGGAAGTGAGAGGTGGTGGGAGAATAAATCTAGAATTCAGGGAAGGAGAAGAGTTTTACAGAAAGTGCAAAAACCAGATGACAAGCAGGTTTTTTAAAGGTTCCAGTGAGATGCTAGGTAACAGGTCAAAGGTCAAAGAGATGTAATTTCCCAATATGGCCCCATGAGGACCAGATGACCTGGTGCAGTGACCACACTCTAGCACTTCTTTGCAAGGAAGCCAATGAAGAGCAAGTTTAAAGCCTTCAATGAATAAGTGAGACAAAGGTGAGCTGGGTTAGCGGTAAGGAATAAACAAGGAAGATTATAAGAAAGGAACACAGCCTGGCCAGTGTGGCTCAGTGGTTGCACATCGACCCATGCACCAAGAGGTGGCTGGTTCGATTCCTGGTCAGGGCACATGCCCAGGCTGTGGGTCTGATCCCCAGTGAGGGGCATGCAGGAGGCAGCCAATCGATGTTCTCTCTCATCGATGTCTCTCTCTCTCTCTCTCTCAAATCAATAAAGAAAAAAAAGTACCATAAATACAGTTTGAGAAAACTTGACCCTCAACTCACTGCTAAGCAAGGACAGAAAAACAACAGTACATGTGAGAAGGTGCTTCTTCATGGCACACACCTCGATCTTGTAAAAAGGACACTATAAACAGCCTCTTCATCTTCAGAAAGCTTTAAATGGTGCAACTGAAATTTACGCTGGGGCAGCATCACCTGGAATATTAAAAAAAAAAAAAAGCAGTTGGGATGAAGTTATACAAATTAACTGAATGTTACAGAGTAAATTCCCAGAGTTGACACTAGAAATTTAGTCAAGGCTGGACAGCAGCTTCCACCATTCCCTAAAAATAGGGCTGCTCTGACAGGTGCAGGACAGCAAGCCCAGGGCCCCTACCTAGGAGAACGGGAGACTCCGAGCAAAACAGATGACTGTTCAACCCAAGACAAGGACATGGTCACCATCCTTCCCTGGCCTCCCTCACAGATACATATAAATGAGATTACCAAGGGCTTGCCAGTGGAGTCCAGCTGGTCTTTTGTTCTCCGCAGCAAAAGGCTCTTGGTTAAAATACTTAACCGCTCACCTCCTTTCTTTGTACCATTGTCAACATGGCTCCTCCACAGATTGAACTCATCAAATGGAGAACAACGGAGAAATCTTTTTTGTTGGGGGAGAAGAACAGAGAGTAGGGAAGGAGAAGTGTGTGAGGACAGAGTATAGGGTCCAAGAAAGACATCAGATGAAAAAAAAAATTAGATTTTCTGTTACATCTATCATTCCATCATTTTTTAAAGTGAATTTCATAGCAAAGCTCTGCTAGACAGATCAAAAGAATCCAGGTCAACAAAAACCACATTATAAAACTGTGACTTTTCCCATTAACAATGTCTGTATCGTCACAACAGGATATACAACCAATAGCTGCAATTTAATCCTAAAGTTTCAAAGGCTGGCAAAGAAATTCCATATCCTCTTACGGCTGACTTTAATAAAAGCAAGTATTTTAAAATCAGCATTCTTTTCTGTTTGCTTCAAATAAATTGTAGTCCTGACCCCAGGCCATATGCTTTAAAGCAGAAATAGCCCAAAACATTCACTGGACTGAAGAAAAATGACTTTAATTTGTTTCCTTTAACTTAATCTTTCCTATATTTTCCCATATATAGCGGCTGAATGTAATCAAAGTCCTATATCAGCCAGTCAATCAACAGATTATTTTTCTCATAAATATTAATTCTTTTGCCCTTTAAAGATAGCAGGCTTGCCATCTGCTACATGAGATAACCTGGCATACACCAGAGCTTTATTTATCATGAGATCTGAAATAATTATGAAGGGTTACTGACAAGGTTCACATTTACATAATTCCAAAGAGTTTACTCACTTTAGCAGTGAATACATGTCCAGCAGGTTGTTCTGAATGGGGGTTCCAGTGACAGCCCAACGGGCACGTGCTTGTAGCTTACACACAGCTATAGAAGTCTGCACTTGGGGGTTCTTAACATTGTGAGCTTCATCCAGGATGATTCGTGCCCAGACTATTCGAAGCAAAGGTGCTGAGACACGCTGGAAGAAACCCAACAACAGTATGAAAAAATGTGTATGTCTTCAAGAAGATAAGGGGAAACAAGAAACAAGTACTGAGGACCCACTCTTAGCTTCAAGTTTGTTTTTTTTTATCCTTACCCGAGGACATTTTTTCATTTTTTGTTCAGATAGAGTGGGAAGAAGAGAGAGAGAAACATCGACATGAATGGAACACAGTGAGTAGCTGCCACCCACACGACCCAACCAGGGCCGGGGACAAACTGCAACCAAAGTACATGCCCTTAGCAGGAACCGAACCTGGGTCTCTCTGGACCGCAGGTCGATGCTCTAACCACTGAGCAAAACTAGCCAGGGCTTAGCTTCAAGTTTGTGGGTACACTGAAATAAGCATTAAGCCTAAGAAACCAAGAATGGAAACTCAGTGGGTAAAAATAAGCAAGTCATTTGAGAGCCCCAATCCTTGAATTTAAAATGCTTAAGATTAAAATGTCTTCTAATTCGAGTTTTCATTTATTCTTTCAATCTACTTTTGAGCAATGGCTATGGGTTGGGACCACATTAGGTGCTGACACTGCAAATTCACTCAATCGATGAAATAGTTACTAAATTTTACTCAATTTACAACAAAATTCACTAAAAATTTACTAAAAGTCTACTTTTCTATGTAAGAGTCTAAGCCGGCCCTGGCCGGTGTTGCTCAGTGATTAGAGCATCAGCTGGAACATAAAAGGTTCATAGGTCCAGGTTGCAGGTTTAATCCCCAGGCCCAGTAGAGGTGTGTGTGAGAGGCAACCGATCAATGTGTCTCTCTCTCATTGATGTTTCTCTCTCTCCTTCCCTGTCTCCCTCCCTTTCACTTTCTACAATTCAATGGAAAAAATATCCTCGGGTGAAGATTAACAACAACAAAAAAAAGAAAAGATACTAAGCCAGACAAAAGGACAGTTCCTACTCTCAGAAAGCTCACAATCTATCAGGAAAGAAAAGCAAGCACCAAGATAACCACAACAGTGAGTGTATAATAAGCCCCACTGTGTCAATCAGCACATGACAGTAGGGACCTAGTCCTATTCACTGCTGTACCCATAATACCTGAGATAGCAGCTCAATATTTGCTGAATAAATAAAGTGCTGTGACATAAGCACAGAAGATGCATTTAACCAAACAGGGAGGCAAAGCATTCGGGTTAGAGGGAGAACAAGGCACAACAGCGTGACAGCATGGCAGAGCAGTACGTGTGTCTTGGTATGGCTGAGCAAGAGGGGCCACAGGGAAGGCTGGGGTGTAGGTGATGAGGGACATGCAAATAGGATAAAATCATAAAAAGCCTAATATATGATATTAAAAAATTAAGGTTTTATCCTGAAAGCAATGAGGAATCACTGAGGAATCTGCAAAGTTAATCATCTGCAAAAAGTCAGAGTTGGTCATAAGATGTCTCCATTCTAGAGATCTTACCAAATACAGAATCTGTGAATATTCATGTTAAATATGAGTTCCTGGAACAACACTGTATTTTCAGAGAAAAAACTCCATAATCACTTATACAATAAAGCCTCTCCCCTAGATCACTAAGACTCCCGTGGGTAGTCAGGGGTTTTCCCTGGTTATCATTTAGCCTCTGGCCCATCTGCAGCCTCGTTATTTCAAACCCTTCTCCTGGGAGGTAGAGAGAGGCGGGGAATGATGGCCTAAGAGCAAAATACTAGTACTAAAATACCAGTCTTCACACAAATATAAAAGATATCCTGAGAGTATATACCACAGACCCTAAAAACTGCAACAAGTGCCCTGGCCAGTTTGGCTCAGCGGTTAGAGCGTCGGCCTGCGGTTCAGAGACCCGGGTTCGGTTCCCGCTAAGGGCACGTACCTCAGTTACAGTTTGTCCCCGGCCCTGGTTGGGTTTTGTGGGTGGCAGCCACTCAATGTGTCCCTTTCGCGTCGATATTTCTCTCTCTCTTTCTCTTCCTCTCTCTCCCTCCCACTCTATCTGAACAAAAAATGGGAAAATGTCCTCAGGTGAGGATTAAAAAAAACAAAACAAAAAACTGCAACAAGTGAGGCTTTTCTAGTATAATCATGTGAGACACCATAACTGCAATGTAGTTACCATTAGTTCTAAAAAAAAAAAAAAAACAGCTAAATACTGTGCCAAACTTCACCCTTGATCACTAAGGAGGCTATATAGAATAAAAGAGAAGGGACAGAGTCCTTCATTTCCACAGGTGGAGTGGCTATGACATCCCTGACCTCACAGGAGGGTACCTCTGCTACCTCTGATGCTGTGACAAGACTCGAGTTAAAGGAGGCAGGGTTCCACCTCTCCTTCCCCGGCAGCCCCCAGCCTCACCTCCTCACTATGGTTTGTGTCCGGGACCTGTTCCTTTTGCTTCTTGGTAGGGATCTCCTTGGCCAGAAGGCTATAGGTGGTGATCACGATATCATATGTAGAGAGGCTGTGTAGATATAACACAAAATGGTAAATGATCCCCCTGTGACTCTAACCACGAGAGGCAGAGTTGATCTCTTTATAAGAATTCCTATGGCTGGAAGGACAGATGGCAGAATTCATTCATTCATGTCCTTCATCAACACGTGATTCTGGAGAGGCAAACCTGACTCACTTGGCTTCCTTATCTCTTACCTCTGATCATTTTTACAGTGTACTCACTATAGCTAGAACAGCCTCCCTCCTCCCATCCAATGAGCCATAAAGGAAAACCTGCTGGGCTTGTATTAACCTTGATAATATCTGGCCAGTACAGAATATAGGGGAGGGTTGATAACTAACATTTTAGTAGATGCAATTTACTTCTAAATGATTTGACATAGATGATGCTAAAGCCCCAAGGATGTAAAAGACACTCAGAGCAGTCTGGCTTTCATCAAAGGTGCTTTTTCTCTTCTGTGTTCTACAATGGACTTGTAAACACCCATTAATCTAGCTTTGACATTTGAATATAATCATGCCGTAAACTTTCAGTTTACTTGCCAAGACTTTTTACATGTAAAGATTCTTAATGAAAGGCACCAATCTTTTCTCAAAGAAGCTTAATACTGTGCACCTGAGAGAACCTCCATAAATATTTCTGATAAAAATGATATGCCTAATTCAGAGGGGCAGCAATGACTACACGTGGCCTTAGCATCATATAAAGTATAACAGATGATTCTAGTCAACTAGTACACTCTGAATACCAAACCAGGTATGATCAAAGTGCAAATCCAACGAGATGCAATTTACTTCTAAACAAATATCTAAAACGAAGGCAAGCCACTTACAGTCCTCTCTGCCGGAGGAGCATGCCGGCCTGCTGCTGCTGCCCTGACACACTCAGCCTGCTGACGCGACTCTCGGTCATGACAGTTGGTGTATATCTTAAGGGTCACCAATCTGGCAATTACCCCTGAAAGACTACTGCCCTGTTCTTGAGGAGATAAAACATTCACTATCAGAGGTGGTCGAGAGAAGTGGAAACAACTCTGTTCTTAACTAGATTAGCAAGTATTCAACCCAGAGCTGCATACCACAGTGAGGAACAAATAACCACATTCTTTAAAACCAAAGGACAAAGACTAGGACTCAATTTAACTCTGGGGAAATATTTCTGTCCTCCTTCCTAAGCATTCCTCCTCAGGAATTCAGTTAGGTCTAATCCTAAACTCTTGAATCGAAACTTCTTATTCACATATGAAAAATATAGTCATAAAAATATAATCAGCCTATATCAACTAATCATTAGTATGGTATCAAGATGCTCTGTAAGACTGGGCTAGCTCCATTCATACTAACAGAAAAAGAATGTGAGTTTGGAATGAGAATTCATAACCATGGAATAGCTGTGGCCAGCCTCTTCTACAGGGAATGAAACTGCTACCCGGCTAACAACTCGGGCGTCGCGGGCCTGCTCACATGGCAGCTTGTTTTGTGGACAGTGACAAGGATATAGCAAAGGAACACCACTTTCTCTCAAGAGTTAACTCCTAATACAGGTGAAGGCTGTCTGGTGATGAGAGTACCTTTGGTCTTGACAATACCACTAGTCCCGACTAAATGAAACCTCAGGGAAAGCAGGTACGGTCAATATGGCCTCTTAAGCCAAGATGCTGAGAACCTCTTAGTGACTGCAATATTTTTGCACTTACACTCTTGCACGTTGGTCCCGGTTTGGCCCATGATAGAGATAGACTCTTAGCTTGTTGCTGCTCACACGTTTCTCCACCTCCTTTTTCCAGTGATGGATCAGGGAAGCAGGACAGATGATAAGTGTTCCATGGGAAGTAAATTCAGTGGAGTCTTGAGAGGGGGGGTGGGAAACCAACACCTTGTTACACCCATTATACAGCCTTTAACTTCTTAGAGGCATAACCTTTCTCTCGACTGACTTTATTCCTGAAATCATATTTTTAACAACTGCTGCTCTTATTTCTATACATAGTTTACAGTAGAATAGGAAATGGAAGAGATGGTCTTTTAACTCAAAACACTTCATTACTTCTTATTTTCCCATATAAAGCTGTCAGACAGAGAGGCTAAAAAAGAAGAGGAAAGTAGGTAGTATGCAACCTGTCTTCAAAAAAAAAAAACCCAGTGCACTGGCAGTGGCCAGAAGGTAGAAGGTTAGATCATAAACTCGTCTTGGGCTTTATGGGGTAGTATTACTATTTTTCTCTGAAAAGCATTAACTTAGTTGTATCTACATTAAATATAAGTACAATTTTCCTGGCCAGTGTTCTCAGTGGTTAGAGCGTTGGCCTGTGCACGGAAGGGTTGCATGTTCAATTCCTTGTCAAGGGCATGTACCTGGATTGCGGGTTCGATCCCAGGCCCCAGTTGGGGTGTGTGCAGGAGGCAACCAATCAATGTGTCTCTCTCACAAAGATGCCTCTCCCTCTCCCCTCCATTCTCTCTAGAAAAATCAATGGAAAAAATGTCCTTGGGTGAGGATTAACCAAAAAAACCCAATATATATATAAATGTAAACACAAAAACCCCTAAGTTGAGCAAACATTACTTTGGAACCAGTTAGTGATGGAGCATTTGTACCACTACCCCACATCCCCTTGTGTATGTGCGTGCACGTACGTGCATGTGTGCATGAGTGTTATGTGCGTGCATACACATGCTGCTACTTCACACAAGGACACAACAGTGGTCATCGGAGGCTCTGAGAGTAGACAATCACCAATTTTTTGAACTATCTAACCAACTGAGAAATGTACTGTGTATATGGCAACTTACATGTAGTCTTGTCTATAAATCATACATAGGACTTTTTAAGGACTTACACAGTCATTACATTTTAAAACCAGAGGTTGAAATAAGATAGAAATCATCTGGAATCTGGAAACTTCTGGAATTTCAGAAACATGGAAAATAGCTTCTGCTATGGTGGCTAAAATCTGAGTTTGTAACAGGTCCTCCTTAAAATAATAATATATTTACTAATTTGGATCTATCCTGTAGTTATATCCTAAACATTAAGAAAGTAATCATCATGTTTAGATTAAGTCTGCTAGAGCCTTAGCTTTCTCCATAAAATATTTCTAGTCATAGGTAAAACCAAGTTTATATTAAAAGAGAAAATGATCACTTAAATTAGCATATTCAGCATCAGAAATGATACCATAGGAAAGTAGTCTAACACTAGATTTCCAATAGATTAATTAAATATGACCAAAGGTGTACTTTTGTAGCTTAAAAATTTCCACTCTCCACTGGCTCAAATGATTGATGTAGAAAATGGCAGGCCACGAAGGCTGTTGAATACCATCTTTGGAAAGCCAAGTCAAGGGCATGTTTTTGTCCTTTTTGTTTTTCTCTTGATCCTTTTGGGTCAGAATGAGTGCAATCATTGTCAGAGTTTTTCCTAATCCCATGTCATCCGCTGGAAAATAAAAACAGGAGAGTTCATTACTTAAGGCAAAGAATCAACTCAGCTTCAAGAAAAGAAATATATTTTACTACCTACTTTACTGGTGCTTCCACATTTCTGGAGCTACAGTTAACACAAAACAGTCCTCCATTCCCTTAATTTATTCATCAGAGAGAGGTAAGAAATTAACATTCCTTAAGAACTGTTTTTGTGCCAGTTGCTGAACTTATCCAATTTACTATTTATACCCTGTAAAATATTATCCTCATTTCAACAGTTTAAATAATCATTCCAACATAAGCAAAAGTAAAATGTCACAGCACAAATTCTAGTTCAAATTCTGGCTCTGCTGCTGTGCAGAAAGAGAAGTAAACCAGCCATCCATTGAGATCCTTGCTTACAAGGATGACCCTTGGCTGGCATCAGGGAACTTGGATTTAAGGAGGGGTCCCACCATTCCCTGAACTGACAAGAGTGACTCGCTGTGCTTAACCTGCTTGTACAAACAACATGATTTATGCTGAAACCCTGCTTTCCCTCTGAGAGTATGGAATTTACACACACACCAAGTTGAAGCTGCCTATTTAACCAGCCCCCAGTGAAAACCTTGGGCATTGAATCCCTAACAAGCCTCCCTGGTTGGTGACACTTTACATGTGTTATCACATCGCAGTGCTGGGAGAATTAGTATGCCCTCTGTGACTCCCATGGGAAAGGCCTCTGGGAGCTTGTGCCTGGCCTTCCTCTGGACTTTACCCCAAGTGCCTTTTCCTTTTGTTGACTTTGATTTGTATCACATCAAAATAACTTGATTATTACTATTTTTATTTTGTAATACATTATAGCTATGAGTATGACTATCCGATGTGCGTCCTCCTAGCCTATCATCAAATCTGGAGGTGGTCTTGGGGACCCCAAAAACAGCCACTTACTAGCCATAGTGGACATCTGTCATATTTTCCAGAAGTTGAGCACTATGAAAAGTTTAGTCTGAGTCGCCAAAGCAGAGCCTGAAACACTTGCTTCCTAGGCTCCAGACTACATGTACTCACATAAGACTTGATTCAGATGTAAGCAACTTGTGAAAAGAGTCTCTCTATGAAATCCTTTCTGCAGGAAGGGGTGGACACAGAAATGTCTGATTTGGGGGTGGCAGTGCCTGATAGAACAAAGCAGCTGTGACAGTTTCCACAAGGCACTGGCTTATTACGTGGCTTTGGGCATTGCTCCAAGCAGTTTGGCCTTCAGCCTGGCTCTCCACACGTTCCAGAAGTTCTGTGGGCCACCACAGAACAAACTGTCTCTGCCTAATCAGCCAGAGTCAGCTTCTACTGCTCGCAACCAAGACCTGACAGATCACACAGCTGAGCATTAACCATTCTTAACCTCAGTTTCCTCATCTGTAAAAGGGGACAATAACCTCATAGAACCTTTGAGAGGATCAAAGGAAACAATACCATAGTATATTTGTTGGCTCTTTCCATAATACCAGACTTACCCAGAATTCCTCCTGGTGGCTTCTGATTTTCTCGCCATAGTAACCAGGCTAATGCCTGCTTCTGGTGCAGTAGCAAAGGGACCTGACAAAAGCAATAACCAAAAGTTAAGTATAAATTCCTCATGAGAAGCTATCCTGGATCTGGCTATAGGGAGGCCACATTCTACTCTTATTTTCTATTAGTGATCCTCCCAATATTCTAGATGTCATAAAAGCTGCCTTTTTTACCTTGAAGTCCTTGACTTCACCATGTCACCTAGGGTATCCGTACGTACGTCCTGGTCAGCCCAGGACAGTGTAGTTTACACCTATTGTCCAGCATGTCTATTAAGAGCCCCATTCCGCCCTGGCCGGTTTGGTTCAGCGGTTAGAGCGTCGGCCTGAGGTCCGGAGAGACCCGGGTTCGGTTCCCGCTAAGGGCATGTACTTCGGTTGCAGTTTGTCCCCGGCCCTGGTTGGTCGTGCGGGTGGCAGCTGCTTGATGTGTCCCTTTCACGTCGATGTTTCTCTCTCTCTCTCCCTCCCACGCTATCTGTACAAAAAATGGAAAAATGTCCTCGGGTAAGGATGAAAAAAAAAAGAGCCCCATCCCTCACCCTCAAGTGAGAGTCCTGGTTAGTCTGCTCCATCAGCCAGAGTTTGTTTCTACTGCTTCCAACCAACACCCTGGACTGGTCACCCTGCTTTCACTAGCTGTTCTGTTGGCTTTTCCTTATTATCTCTTAAATTTCCCTCTCTGTAGCCAACATCCCAGTCTACAATGTCAGCCATACTTTTCAACAACCCTTTAACTGGCACCCTTCTCTCCAGTCTTTTCTTACTCTGGTTTATCTTACACTCCATGACAAAAATAATCTTCATAAAACCCTGTTCAAAATTCTACATTGATTCCATAATATCTCTTGAGCTAGTGTGATCTAAGTTCCTTCACCAAGGCCAGGCGCCACAGCAAGAGTCTTCCGACCCGGTAACGTCACTGGCTGCTCCCAGCTCAGGTACTGATGTCACCCTGCCATCAGTTATTAACACCAATCTCCGTATCTTCCCTCTAGCCACCACTCCTTCTAACTGGGGCGTCTGGCTTCCACCATCCCAGCTATCTTTAGGCCTGCAGCTTCACGGCACAAAGTGGGCAGGCATGAAGTAACCACTGACCTAGAGTGAATTTTCCTTTATTTTGAATCCCTTTTGCACTTTATATACAGTCCACAGTACCTTACAATGCATTTATCTTCGTCTTTAGGTCATTTTCTATTGTTTCATGTATGTTATGCATGCACTTTCACAAGTTCTTTAAGAGCAGCAATCCCTTTGCATCCTTGTGGCACCGACCCAAGGTCACCCACCCACGGTCATTAAGTAGATCTGCTACTGCTACAGAAATAGAGAGCTGACTCTTGAAAAATGCAGGGGTTGGGTGCGCAAACGCCCATACAGTCAAAAACTCCACATATAACACTTAATTGGCCCTCCACATATCAATTCCCAGCCACGGATCAAAAACACAGCTGACCCTTGAACAATGCAGATCTGAACTGTGTGGGTCCATTTATATTTGGATTTTAAGTGTAAGTGGATCCACGCAGTTCAAACTGTGCTGTGCAAGGTTAACTGTATAACTTTATGACTTTAAAAAAAAGTGTTTTTTTCATTTCTCACTGCTAAACAGAAAAGGAGAAAACAATGCAAGGGAAGCCACTAAAGCATTATCTGTAGGAAGCACATCAGAATGGTGCTCCTCTGAGCCGTCTCACAGTGGTCACTGGGACACTGTCATAGGACACTCCCTGGCTCACCTTCAACCCAGTTGGATCCTCTGCCACAGCTGTCTCACCCGGACATGTCTCAAGTGATTGATGCAGCTCATCAATGGCGTCACTTATGATTTTCCGCACGGTGTGAAGGTGACCTTGGTTCTTAGGGCCTGTATACAGAGAGGTGTTACCTAAAGGTGTCACAAGTATCACGTCCTGGCTATCGCTGTAAAAAGGCAATTGTTATTTGCCAAACGATGGATTTGTATGAACTAAAAATTTTTTTAAATTTATTTTCGATTATAGCTGACATACAATATTGAACTAAAAGTTCCTGCCTCCAGATTCTTCTAGCCCCACAGGCTCCTCTAACCCCATTCTGTTTATTTGTCTGGTTTTTTAAAAATCACATAATAAAGGACAAAATAATAGAAAGTAAATGAAAAGATAAACCATCATATTTTTGGTAAGTTTATTCCAGCTTAGAAGAGGTGGCAGAGGAAAAGATAAAGCCATCAGTATTTTAGAAAGAAAAGATCCCTGGGGCTGGGCGCAAAGAAGTTAGTACAGAAAAGGTGAGGCTTGGGCAACAGAGAGGCCCACCCTGGAGCGCATGTCACGAGCTGACTGCCCTGCACCAGGGAATACTTCTTGCTGGTGCCCACTCATTCTAGAGAACGTCTAGTGAAGTCAGTTAACCAATGCAGGCACCTCAGCTGCTTGCAATTTTAGGGATGAAGTATTCAAATAAGAGGTTTCTAGATTAACCATTTAAATGTTAAAATATTTTTGAAAGGAAAACTATTTTAATATAATTCTTTCCAAACCATTACATGCTTCCTGACCTTAATAATCTAATATAACCCTGGCCGGTTTGGCTCAGTGGTTAGAGCGTCAGCCCTCAGGCCTAAGGGTTGCAGTTTCAATTCCCAGTCAAGGGCATGTACTTGGGTTTCAGGTTCAATCCCTGGCCCCGGTTGGGATCACGTAGGAGGCAACCAATCGATGTGTCTCTCTCATATTGATGTTTCTCTTTCTTTTTTTCCCTTCCTCCCTTCCACTCTATCTAAAAATCAATGGAAAAAAATATCCTCAGGTGAGGATTAACAATAAAAAATAAAATAATAATAATCTAATATAATTTAATTTTCCTCTAGGTGACTCAGTCACCATTATGAGTATGGATGATCCTGTAACACAGTAACATTCTCAAAACATTCCTATGCAGCCATGACTACTATGCTACTTTATTTATTTTTCTTCATTGATGCTAGAGAGAGAGAGGAAGGGAGAGAAAGAGATAGAAACATCGATGAGAGAGAATATCGAATGGCCGCCTCCTGCATGCCCCATACTGGGGATCGGGTCCATAACCTGGGCATGTGCCCTGACCAGGAATCGAACTGGCAACCTCTTGGTGCATGAGTCGACGCTCAACCACTGAGCCACACCAGCCAGGCTACTATGCTACTTTAACAAATATGTTTTCTCTCTCCCCTTTCAGACTACTGCTCAACTTTCTCCCCTATCTCCTTTTTTCTTCCCATTTGCTTTTTTCTCTACTTTTCCCTTTCTTTATCACTAGTTCTCATTTGGGAGAAAACTGGCTTTAGCTTTGCTGGTCACTGCCAGCCAACCTGAGCTCCTGTCTCATGATCAGCATTCCAACCGATCCCATTATGTATTTGAGGCTCCCTTGGAATCCTCATTCTGCAGTTACTACTAAAGTCATCGTTTTCTGGGAAGCTCAGGATGAAAACACTCAGCTATGTAGGGTGATACTGCTCTTGGTGAGTCTATCGGCTCCCAGTCTTCAGTCATGACATTCCTCTGTCTTAACACACAGAGGGAATACAAATATATCTGCTGGCCCACCTACTTCATCATGATGTGAGTTCAAGTTTTCATTCACATTTAGTAGATGACTCCTATTTGCCGGCCACTGGGCTGACTGATCAAGGTCTGTGAATAGGCAGACACAGTGTCTGCCCTCACAGAGATCTAAACAACACTGTACAAAGCTCAGCCCAGCATCGCAATCCTTCTTACATAGGCAACTTACAACTCAGGAATGGCTTCCCCCTTCATGTGGGCACAGACACATGTGCTAGGCAGAATTTTACCTCCTAGGTGTAGCTCTTCACAACGGGGCCAGGCCCTTGGATCTTACCTCCGTAGCACTGACTGGACTGTCCAGCAGCTCCCTGGCAGGCAGCCTCCAGTCCTAGCGAACCCAGAGGCTGGACAGCCCGACCCTGGAGAGGTTTGGGTGGCACCAAGTGGGGAGGGACAGTGGTAGTTCTGGTGAAGTTACTCTGTTGTGGTACTTTAGTGTTACTCTTCTCATCAATGCCTGTTCAACAAACAAGGGAAGAACAAATTAAAGTTCAGAAAAGTAGAGGAATTATATGTGTGAGGTGAGGAAAAGAGAGAGTGGGATGACCACCATTCCAGTGAGCTGGGGAAGGCTTCCTGGAGTGTAGCATTTAAACAGGTGCATAAAATAACGGGAAAGAGAGTTGAGTCCACAGGAAACAGGAGAAAGTTTTTATAAATTACAGGTGTAATTTAAAAGGAAGCTCAGAAACAGATAATAAAAGGAGTCAACATTCTTTTTTTTTTTTATCCTCACCCGAGGATATTTTTCCATTTTTTGTACAGATAGAGTGGGAGGGAGAGAGAGAGGAAGGGAGAGAGAGAAACATCGACGTGAAGGGACACATCGAGTGGCTGCCACCCGCACGACCAACCAGGGCTGGGGACAAACTGCAACCGAAGTACATGCCCTTAGCGGGAACTGAACCCGGGTCTCTCCGGACCGCAGGCCAACGCTCTAACCGCTGAGCCAAACCGGCCAGGGCAGGAGTCAACATTCTTTATCAAGATGCTTTCTCGAATGTCTCTTGTAAAGTTCATGCAAACCCCGAGTTCTGGGGCCTAGCCCATTTTACCTTGCTCTGGAGAGAGGGCGAGAGCACCAAGTGTTTCCTCCAACTCCTGGATTTGCTTAAGTAACTTCTGACCTTTGTCTGGAAGAACATGAATGTTCACTGATGCCAGTGTGCTCTGAAAAACAGGTCCAATAAAATGGATCACTCCTCTCCAGTTGTTAGAAAGATAGCTTCAGATTAAAATACCTAAAATGCTTCCCTGGCCAGTTTGGCTCAGCAGTTAGAGGATTAGAGTGTCAGCCTGTGGACCAAAGGGTGTCGGGTTCAATTCCCGGTCAAGGGCACATACCTCAGTTGCAGATTCCATCCCCAGCCCCTGTTGGGTTGTGCTGGAGGCAACCCATCAATGTATCTCTTTCACATCAATGTTTCTCTCTTTCTCTCCCCCTCCCTCCCACTCTATCTAAAAATCAATGGAAAAAAAGTAAGAATTAACAACAACAACAAAAAACCCTAAAATGCTAAAACTCTGAAATTATGGTCTTTTAACTATATGTGTGAAAACCAAAACTTTTCTTTTTTTCAACCCAGCTGACTTACCAATCCTGAAAATACAAACATAGGAAAAGGCAGATATAAACACCCACCTATAAAACTTTGCTCACATTAACATCTTTAACTCATTTATGGAGTCCCTAAGGTCTCCCATAGTAAGCAGAGCTCTGACCTTCAAAACAACACAAGGCAGCAGTTACCTTCTTCTGTTTCAGTTGTGTTGTGAGGTATGCACGTTGGGCTGCTGGGTCTGAGGGTTCTACCACCTTCTTAGAAACACCTGAGGCAGGAGACACTTTTCTTTGCCCAGTTTGACCAGGGAATGGAAGGTTCTCCTTCTTCTGTGAGTCTGAAATCACGTCTAAGACTGAGCAGTTCCCTGGCCGAGAGGAAACAAAAACAACATCATCTTCCTCACTGTCATCACTGCTTGTGTCCACTTCTCGCCTTTCTCTGAGGGAAGGCCCTGCAGCTGGTGGCACAGACTGGGCGGCCGGTCCTTTCGGAGCAGGTGCGCGACGGGGCTCTGACTGTGCCTGGACATGCCCCTGGGGCAGCCTCTTCTGGGTGGTCTGTGTGCTCGGGTCATCCTTTGCCTTTGTTTCTCTAGCCTCCCAGCTCTTGGGCTGCTCCTTGCTGAGATGTTCTGCTTCCAGGGGCTTGTTCATTGGGTTTTGGCTGTGAACAATTTGAGGCAAAGGCTTGGTTTTCTTTTCTCTCTGAGGTTCTGATTCTTTTTGGACATGACTCCCAGCATTTGGTTTCTCCTGAGGAGACGTAGATGGTTTTCTCAGCTCATTACCATGGCACTGCTTGGACTGAATCTCAAAAGGGTTTCTTTTGTGCCTCTCTTCAGTCTCCTTTGCTTCACACCGAAGCTCTGTTTTCTCCCCTCGCGGCTTCTCTTGACCTGCCAATTTTTCCTTTACCACCAGGCCAGATGAAAGATCTTTCTCCATCCAGCAGTTAGATTCAGGATTCTGTTCCTTCTTCTGACCCAAGAGTGGGTCTATCTTTTCCCTTTGCTTCTTATCAGTCATCTTTTTCTCATCTTCACCTTTGATGAACTGTTTCCACAGAGATGGTTCTTGATTCTTGTCCAGTACCTTGAACGGGTTTCTCTGCTGGATGGAAGGATAATGGAGTGGTGCAGATGCATGCTGAGACTTACTGGTTATAGAATGCTCTTTGGAATTAGGATCCTACAGGACAAAGAACATAATTTTAATATAAGGTATTAATACAAACTTCATGTCTAGAATACCTTTTTTTCCAGAAGAAATGGAAACAGAGTAAAAGCAGTCTAATATTTCTGAACATGCTTAGGACCATCACTGCCTCTAGAAAAGACTATATGCCAAACTCATTAAGTATTTGTTTCTTAATAGTACTTGCAATGCTTGGTTCCATCTCTCTGTCCATGAGCTGGGCTTTCCAGGCCTCAAGGAGATATAGTGACACAATATATACTTTTCATGAAAAACTGTTTGCTCAAGATGAACTTTCACCCTGGCCAGTTTGGCTCAGCGGTTAGAGCATCAGCCCTGGGACCAAAGAGTCGCCAGTTCAATTCCAGTCAAGGGCATGTACCTCAGCTGCAGTTTGGTCCACTGCCCTGGTAGGGGTCAAGCAGGAGGCAACCAATCGATGTGTCTCTCACATCAATGTTTTTTTCTCTCTCTCTTCCACTCTATCTGAAGATAAATGGAAAAATATCCTCAGGATTGAAAAAAAGATTAATTTTTCAAAAAAACCAAAATAGAGTCTTATGCTTACTTGATTTGGCTTTAGGGAGGTTTCACTGCGAGAGTCTAGAATCATAAGTTCAAATTATCCCTCCATCAAAATAAGTTGCCTCACCTCCCTAGGCTTAGTTTCTCACATAATGGATACCTGTAGGATCTCTCCTAGTGCTCGTATTCTAAGAGCTTAGAATTATACTCAGCTTATACTAATATCAAAGAGATATTAATCTGTAAAAATATGCTGAAGTTAGTCAAGTAAATCTAAGTTTTTCCCTGAGTAGGAGAATTTTGACTATATTTTTTTAAGACCTTGGAAAATATTTAGGTAAGTGAAATAGGAGACAGTTAATTAAATCTTGAATGTAATCAAACAGTCCTTTAAATTAAAAGTCCCAACAGGGTCTACCTTCCTTAAAGAAAAGAACCACCTTTCAGAGATAGTATTATGAAGACCAACCATTTATATTTGTACTTCAAGGTCTTTTCGGGTGATACCATAGATTAAACAGTGTTAACAGAGAAGATCTGAAAATAGGTGAATAACTCCTACCTGCCATGGGATATGTCCACACCATTGCTTCCTCTCGGCCTTACTTCTAATGCATCGGAAGAACAAACTAATGAAGTATAAAACACAATTAATCAAGGCTGTGAAAATCCACTAAAACAAGAGATAAACTTATTTTTATTTATTCTTTATTTTTTTTAAATCTTTATTATTGAATGTATTACAGACGTTCCTCATTTTCCCCCCATTGACCACCTCCTCCCCATTCCTGCCCCCCTCCTGCCTTTTCCCACACTATTGTCTGTGTCCATTGGTTATGCATATAAGTTCTATGGTTTATTTCTTCCCACCCCCCAACACCTTTCCCTTTGAGGTTTGTCAGTCTAGCAATGAATTTGTACTTCTTAATCCCTTCACCTTTTTCACTCATTCCAACAACCCCCCTTCTATCTGGCAACCAACAAAATGTTCTCTGTATCTATGAGAATGTTTCTGTTCTGCCTGTTCATTTTGTTTGTAGATTCCATTGTCGATAGATATGTATTCATTGCCATTTTGTTTGTTCATACATTTTATCTTTTTCTTCAAAAAGACCCGTCATCATTTCATATAATAACAGTTTGGTGGTGATGAACTCCTTTAACTTTTTCTTGTCTGGGAAACTCTTTATATGGCCATCGATTCTAAATGACAACTTTGCAGGATAGAGTAATCTTGGTTGTAGGTTCTTGCTTTTCATCACTCTGAATATTTCTTGACACTCCCTTCTGGCCTGCAAAGTTTCTTTTGAGAAATGAGCTGACAGCCTCATGGGAACTCCCTTGTAGGTAACTAACTGCTTTTCTCTTGCTGCTTTTAAGATTCTCTCTTTGTCTTGAACCTTTAGCATTTTGATGATGATGTGTCTTGGTGTGGGCCTCTTGGGGTTCATCTTATTTGGGACTCTCTGTGCTTCCTGGACTTGTATGTCTGTTTCCTTCACCAAGTTAGGAAAGTTTTCTGCCATTATTGTTTCAAACAGGTTTTCAATTTCTTGTTCTCTCTCTTCTCCTTCTGGCACCCCCAAGATGCAAATGTTGGCACGCTTGAAGTTGTCCCAGAGGCTCCTTATACTATCCTCATTTTTTTGGATTTTCTTTTTGCTGTTCTGAGTGGGCGTTTTTTGCTTCCTTATATTCCAAATCGATGGTCTGCTTCTTGGATTTACGTACTCTACTACTGAATCTGTGTAAATTATTCTTTATTTCAGTTAATGCCTCCTTCATTTCTGACTGTGCATCCTTCATTTCTGACTGCTCTTTTTTTATGCTCTTGAGGCCCTCACTAAGTTCACTGAGGTTCTCACTAAGTTCGCTGAGCATCCTTATAAGCAGTATTTTGAACTCAGTATCTGTTAGGTTGCTTATCTCCCTTTCGCTTAGTTCTTTTGTTGGGGTTTTGTTCTGTTCTTTCATTTGGGACCTGTTTCTTTGTCTCCTCATTTTGGCTGCCTCCCTGTGTTTGTTTCTGTGTATTACTTAACGAGAGGTATGGGGCTAGCTGATACCAGATGCTGCTTGTTTGAAAGGATTTAGGAAAACCTGAAGCACAATCCAAGACAGGCCAATCCTATGGTTAAGCAAGTGGCAACAGCTTAGGTGGGCCTGAAAGTTGGGTTGGATGGGGCCTCAGGGAGTCAGCAGGGCGGAGCTACCAGTGTGAGCCAGGTTGCTGGAGTCCCAGATATGGCGACTGTCTGCCGCCCCAGAGAAGGGCTCACCAAAGGAACAAAGGCCTCTGACAGCACCCTCTCCACCCGTCGCTCCAGTGCCAAACAGCTCAGTTCTACCCCATATGCCTCTGGCACCCCTCGAGCTGCCTCCCCTCTAAGCTTAGAGAGAGCGAGTCCAATAAGTCCCTGCCCGGGCCCTTTAAGAGGAGCTGCCTGGGGCTCCCACTGCTTCAGCTTCCCTCAGCCTCAGTTCCCGCTGGTTTTTCCAGCCAGAAGTTATGGGGATTCTCTTCCTGGCACTGGAACTCTGAGCGGGACGTCTGATGTGGGACGGGAACCCCTCAGTCCTCAGGGAGGACCTTCCCAGCCGACGTGTCCTCCTGATTTTTATCCGCCACACATGGGTGTTGGACCAGCCCATCCGCCTCCGTCCCTCCTACCAGTCTGGATGTGGCTGCTGCTTTAATTTCGTAGTTGTAGGACTTCCATTCAGCTTGATTTCAGGCAGTTTTGAATGATGGTTGTTCTGTAGTTTAGTTGTAACTTGATGTGGTTGTGGGAGGACGCGATACGGTGTTTACCTACACCACCATCTTGACCGGAAGTCCCGATAAACTTGTTTTTAAGCCAAGAAAACATTTTACAACTACTTGATACTGGTTTTTAAAGGTCACTTGAAACTAATTACTCTTATATATGCCTTTAAAAATTCTCTATTGCACAGGATATAGCACAGGGCTGTAAAGTGAAAGAATCAAGATGTCATAGTAACCAGAGAGTATGCACTGGTTTATTTTTACTCTGTAAAGAATGACTAAAATGAAGACATTGAACAGCAGTGGCTGCTAAATTCATAAGAAGAGAGATTCCCAGACAGTGTGTCCCTGATGGGAAGCCACAATACTACCTGTAAAGGTTAAAAATAAAACAAACAAAAAACCAAGCCAAACCAAAACAAACACTAACCTGAATCTGGTCAAACCTGTAGATATAAAGAGTGATTTATAGAAATGCAAACAACAGAGAAACACATAAAACTAGACCATGCAGATATAATCTGCAAAATCCTGACAGTGGGAAAAGCTGTATAACAACCTGATTCCTTCAAATTACAAGAGAAAAAAAATGAAGGGGGTACTTCTGGTCAAGATGGAAGGTAGGTAAAAGCGGTACTCACTTCCTCCCACAAGTGCATCAAAATTATAACTACAGAACAACCATCATTCAGAACCGCCTGACATTGAGCTGAATGGAAGTCCTACAACTATGAAACTAAAGCAGCAGCCTTGACGGGTTTGGCTCAGCGGTTCGAACGTCGGCCTGCAGACCAGAGAGTCCTGGGTTTGGTTCCCGCTAAGGGCACGTACCTCGGTTGCAGTTTGTCCCTGGCCCCAGTTGGAGTTGTGTGAGTGGCAACCACTTGATATGCCTCTCTCACATCAACGTTTCTCTCTCTCTCTCACTCTTCCTTCCTCTCTCCCTCCTGCTCTATCTGAAGATTATTACAAAAATGTCCTTGGGTGAGGATAAAAAAAAAAAGCAGCAAGAAAAAAGCAGTTGGTTACCTACAAGGGAGCTCCCATAAGACTATCAGCTGATTTCTCAAAAGAAACTTTGCAGGCCAGAAGGGAGAGGAAAAAAATAGTCAGTGATGAAAAGCAAGAACCTACAACCAAGATTACTCTATCCTGCAAAGCTATCATTTAGAACCGATGGGTATATAAAGAGCTTCCCAAATAAAAAAAAGCTAAAGTAGTTCATCACCACCAAACCAGTATTATATGAAACGTTGAAGGATCTTCTTGAAGAAGATAAAAAATATGAATAAAATGGCAATACACAGCTAACAACATTTGAATTTACAAACAAAATGAACAAGCAGAACAGAAAGAGACTCATAGATACAGAGAACATTTTGTTGGTTGTGAGATGGGAGGGGGGTTGGGAGGAGGGGTGAAAAAGGTGAAGGGGTTAAGAAGCACAAATTGATTGTTACAGAATAGTCATGGGGTGAAGGGGGTCAATAGAGGGAAAAGTATCTGTAATATTTTCAACAATAATGATAAATTTTTTAAAAAGATGGAGGGGAAACTTAGGAGACTTAAAAGAAATATCAATCAATTACAACTAGTAAACCTTATTTGGATCTGGATATAAACAAAACAAAAACCACTAAAAATTAATTATTTATGACATGAATCTAATAGAAATTTATACTCCAACTAGTTTAAAAAACAAGAGTCCATATCTTTCAAAGTTACATACTAAAATATTTATAGAAGAAAGTATGTTATCTGGAATCTGTTTTAAAATATGGCAGGAGTTAGGGAGTGGAGTGGGTAGGGTATATGTGGAACAAAATCAACCATGAGCTGGTAATTGTTGAAGCTCATGTGCTGCATTATTCTATACTGTCTATTTTTGTATATATTTTCAAATATATTTAAATTTTCCACTAAATACAAAGGCTGAATACAGTGTTACATCCCAATGCAAGATGATCCTTGCACACCCAAGAACAGCTTATGCTCTAGCTATGCAGAAAAGGCTACACTGCGCCCATTCACAAGGTAAGCCACACAGACTTTGTGTGTCTCCCTCCACCCAAAGGATACCCTCTTTATCCCTGTTTGCCCACCATCTCCTTTATCACCAGTTGTTAAAGTCCTTCAGATCCTTCAATATCCCTTTACAGGGTTTTCCCACAATCCCTTCCTTCTTCACCCATTGCACTGCTTTTGTATTTGTGTGTGTGTGTTTAGTTGTATTTGTACCTATTTCCCTGACTATATTTTCAATAACTAGAAGGCAATAACCATATGCAATCTCTTTATTTGCCCTGGACAGTTTGGCTCCTTGGTTAAGAGTGTTGGCCCGAGGACCAAAGGGTCACGGGTTCAATTCCTGGTCAAGGGCACATAGCTGGGTTGCAGGTTCGATCCCCCACCAAGGTGCAGGAGGCAAGCAATTGATGTGTCTCTCTCACATCGATGTTTCTGTCTTTCTCTCTCCCTCCCTTCTTTCCACTCTAAAAACAATCAATGGAAAAATACCTTCAGGTGAGGATTAACCAAAAATAAATAAACAAATGATCTCTTTATTTCTAACTATGCCTTTTGTTCATAATAGTTAAGTATTGCTGAATAAAACTGTTTTTTTCCCTTAACTAAAAGAACTCAAGGACATTCAGTCAGTTAAATAAAAGCCTTAAAAATACATATTTTGCCCTGGTTGAGTGTTCAACTGGTTGGAGTGTCATCTATACACCAAATTGTTGCAGGTTCGATTTCCAGTCAGGGCACATACCTAAGTTGTGGGTTCAATCCCCAGTGGGGGTACAAACAGGAGGCAACCGATTGATGTTTCTCTCTCACATCGATGTTTCTCTTTCTCCCTTT